TATACACAAAACTGTCGAGTGACCAGACATTTACAATTCTTCAGCTAAAATATAAGCAATTAACTGTTTCACAACAAACTAACCTAAAGATGTTTATATTAGGCTCGTGCACACTTTTCCTCAGCTCTAATCAGTAAGCTGTGGAACTCACTACTCTTCGGTTGAATCTTTCAAGGCTCAACGGTTACTTTAATTCTGTAAGTAGTAAGGGAGAATACTTTGAGTGTTACTCACCGAGCACACCTATTATTAACTAAATTGTCACTCCCCTCAGTTCTTAGGAGGAATATTAAGAAATCATAGCCCTCCGAAAATAAGACCTCATTCTAACTGCCCAGACGCAGATCCCAAGGAACAAATAGTTCGCCGATTCCTCCTGGCAAAGTTGAAGTTGACACGGATAAGAGTAAAGATTCGTACCTATCTTACAGATATGAATAAGTAAGCTATGTAGAATCATTAGTATATATGAAGTATCACTCGCGTGTGACGGGACTAGGTTTAGTACCACAGGGTTTAAAATCAGAAACCCGGTAAATAAATCCAATAATTTCCGAAACCTGAGTGATATAATGCTATCTCGAGAACTGGACATACCCGAAACAGCAAAAACCAATTCCCTGTAATGGATTCAGATAACCATCTCAAATAACACAAGTTAATAAAAACACGGTGAATAATAGTACTGAAGATACACCAATAATTCCAAAACTTCGACTAATTAGTACATCAAATTAAATTGCAAACTTGCCAATGTAAGTTGTTTTCCCACCAGGCGCAGCACACAAATCCAAGATACGCTCGCCTAACTGAGGGGACAAGGCAATTACAGGAAGCATAGAACTAGCTCCCTGAAGTATATAATGACCGGCAAGATATTCTGGTGTTGCGCCTAATGGTACTTGTGATGAATAAACAACAAGTCCAACTTTGCTCCACGGTTCCAAAGGATCAAGGTTTACACCGCGATTTATTAAAGCCTATCTAATTATTATAAAACAAAGAGGACTTGCTTGAGCCAATTCCCTGCGACGTGTCTTTAAGGTGTTTGTGCGAATGGTCACTGGCCTGTCGACTTCATTAGCTTCTAAAACCTCAACAATCTGCGACTGAATTTGAGTTCCAATATTTATTACCTCTTTGGGAAACAAATCAAGAAGTTTCACCATAAGGAACTGGTTGTACGAATAGCGAGAACATAAGTCGCTTATCAGAGTCCGAACACACAAACTCCTATTGAGGTCTGCAGGTGCTCTGTTTTTGAAATCGGAGAGGATATAAAGCCAGTTCCGAATGCGTTGGTCTAATGTACTGGAATCCATTGCAGACTTTCCAACCGCATCTTCGGAAGTGAGGTTTGTGATAATATCCTCTTTTTCATTTACAGGTTCTACAGAATCCGCATTTGTCTCAATGTCTTCTTCCAAATCCGATAGACGTCCAAAATCATCAACCATAAGTTCGTCACCGTCATTTTCAAAAAATCCACTTCGAGTCGCAGACACACTGTCAGATGACTCGTAAACCTAATAGAGAGAAGGTCATCAACAAAAGTACCTTTTTAGATGTCCTATTTTCAACAAGTTCATCAGATTTCAGGAAACGCTTCTTAAGCCTTTGTTTTTGTCTGCTTGTTAGTTTTTCTAAGAACACTGAGACTTTGATAGCAACAAACCCCTATGTTTAACAACTCCATCCCTAATTTTCGGATCCTCTTGGTGAGTCAATCTTTTTCCTCCCTTCTTTACGGCCGATTTCACCATGGTCATGACCAGAAACGAAATAGGCGGCTTGAATTCACTAGGTCAAAGCAACCGACCTGTGTCAGTAGCTAATAGAAACAAACTTCAAAACATAAACATTGGTTGTGGAAAGTAGTGAACTGTCTTTTTTGGGTCTGTGTGTAAGTAGTGAGCGGGCTTGGTTGACTATGGTGAGATACAACGTGTCCGTTGAGATCTTCCAAAACTCCCCACGCTTTTATCGACCCTGTTCATCTGCATTCGGTAGGATTATTATTGGACTAAAATGAACACTTTCACCTCCTTACGTGTACCGTTTTACACAAAGGCCAGAAGCAGTACCAATCAAGGACATTACTGCTGAGAAATTGGCACACGCCTTCGTCGAACGGTGGGCTGTAAACTTTGACTGTCCACCAAGTATCACTTGAGACCGTGAACGTTAATACGAATGTGGCTTTACCGTTGTATTACCACACTCCTTAGAACCACACGATTCCGAACGACCGCCTTCCATCCACAAGCTATTGGGTTAGTAGAACGATTTCGCTGGAAGTTGAAAGCTTCACCCTAAACGGCGAAAGCGTCACAGTGGGCTGGCGCACTTCCACTCATGTTATTCGGTATTAGCAATGCATTGAAGGCTGGCGTCGAATATACTGGAGCTCAACTCGTTCGCGGAACGACACTTTGACCTTCAGGAGAATTTGTGGACCCTTCATCTTTTTCGATGAATATTGATCTAAACTCCTGCACAAGCACGCTTACAAATGCAATGTGTTCAATTAAACCTGGATCAAAATCTTCATTGTACTTGTTTTTTATTACTATATTGTATCACTTGACCCCTTACAGTAAGGAAAGATGACCAAACTCTACTGAACATAGTAAGCTGTCAGACGAGTGTTTACCAACAACAAACCCATTGGGTTCAAGCTTCTGATTCGCCATGTCTTCGGTTCATCACTACCCTACGTACCGATGACCTTCCAAGTACATTTTCGAACTCCCTCACTGCTGTCTTCTGATTTGACTTGGTTGACATACTTCAATCGTGGAAGCGTCACTGGTAAGGTGTTGTCAAACTTTAAATACATTTGGCACCAAAATTCTTTGGTGCAATTATTTCTGTTTTCCTCAGAAATACAATTATATATATGCTTCAATAATTTTCTCAACATATTCTCTATTCGAAGCACGTTACGCTGTATTTTGAGGCACACCGTGTTGACTCTAGGGCAGGAGGAACGAAAATATTGAAATCTGTCGATACTTCAGTCAGGATGTCCGTGAAACCTAATAGGAATAAATCTTAATATACGTATCAGAGAGATTTAAATAATAAATCACTTATGTAATGAGATTTGGCTTTGGATATTAACATGAAAAAATTAAACAAACGCACAAATATCATAAGTTCTATTTTCTCTTTGCAGTTAATGATATAGTTACCGGACCCTGTTTACCCGATTATTTGTAATTACACTGACGCTGAATAGGTGACACAAATCAATTTTGGAAAGTAACTTATCAGGGAGACTTGAACCGGACTGCCGCAACGGAGGCTTGCTGGGAGTTTGATCCATATGGTTGCATATCGATCATACTCTGGTGTTAGTCTCTATAGGTATTCAGAATCAATGAAATGTTCATTTTTGTGTATATTGTGGTATGATATGCCAGATTACGAAAGGACGGATCGTGAAGATCACGATGCATTATTGAGAAACCGGTAAAGTATTCAAGGTTTGATTTAAGCTCATGATCCGAAGAAATTCTAGCTTGTTGGAATACTCCAAACTAGCCTTGATGAATCTTATCTGAACACATCTAATTTCCATCAAATTATATTGCATTCAAAAGGAAATTTCATATTCAACGATGGGTATGATAAAACATTTATATTATAAAAGTCTAGCTTCACTGGTGTTGAAATTTATCAATATGAATTCAGTGAGTCTTCTCGATTTGGACACTCGATATTCAGTGTGCCCGGAAAAGATCAAACTGTTACTATACCTTAAATCGAAGTCATGAATAGTGTTGAGAGATTTCTTTACGCGTTTGTGTAGAACCAGGTTTAGGTTATGGCTGCAGCCAATTCAAATGAACTCACCTTTGCCACCATTCTGTGATAGACTCCACGGCGCATCCCATTCGTCCAGGTTGTCTATGCCTTGAGTTACTGCCGAAATACACCCTCCTTTGGTACGAGGTGAGAATGAATAGACCACTTTTAGGTCATCATCAGAAAAAGTTTAACTTATCGAAAGAGTGGGCGCACGTCATTGAAGAAAACGTGAAAAGTAATGAGCCAACCATGCTTCCTTCTATAACCCTACCGAATACTTACATAGGCATAGAACGGTTTGGCTAGGATCTGTTAAAAACCCAAGATAAAAGCTGTTCTCGTATGTGAATTGAGAAATATTTTACGAGGTTATGTGTGACGTCGCAGGTAGCTTTACTAAAATAAAAGTATGTGATTATCGCGGATTCGAGAGGTCATCGATGTGAGTCAAGACGTAGGAAGACTTGCGCATTATGTCGTAAGTCAGGTCGAACGAAAACATCAGTTGACTGCAGTCGAGTGGAAACATTTTAACTGAACGCATCGCGTTTGTAAGCCTGCTCGTGTAGGAGATTAGGTCTACATTCAATGAAGAAGATAAAAGATCCACGAATTCTCGTACAAGTCTGAGTGTCGTCCCATAAACAAGCTAAGCTACTGTAGGAAGCAATTTCCTACAGGTTTAATCCTGGGCTATTCTCTAGACCGTCGAATACAGAGTCTAGGTTCTGCCAAAGTCAGAACAAGCAAGCTATTTGGCTAGATAAACTTTATCTGTTTCTAAAACATAAATTAACATCGTTAGTGTACTTTTTTCCATAACAGGATACACCAGACATCCACTGACAATCGATAGATAAGCCTGTTTATCAAAGGTCGGTTAAACTATTTAAGCAGAAACAGGTACTAAAAAATAAAACTTCAACTAGTGATAATCAAAGTGGTTACTATGTAAAGGAATGTTTCACTAATCCTAATAAAGCTAAAATAGTTAGTAAGGAGTTTGAGCCGAAGATGCTGACACATTAAAAAAAGAATTACAATTACTTCTACGAGTTTACTAAACTTACGTTTTTTAAATGATGCGGTAGCACAGTTTGACAAGTTATGTAGACGTACCTTCACATATCATAATTAATAATAAAATGCAAACACTTATTTGTAACAAGATTTTGTTTAGTTCTCCCACATTTCATGAATAATCAAGGTGACTGAATTTTGTGGCGGAAACTGTAATATGATTCTGCTTATCTCCGTTTAAGATGGTCAGTGATAGTGAGGAAGAAGATACAGTGGTGAAGATTGGGAATGTACTGCAGGAAATTGATGAGGAGAACTGGATTACCATGGGTGGGGTCGATGATAGATCTGCTTGTACATTTATAAGGGTAACAAATAATTCCTGTTCACTACGGTATATAGGGATATGTAAAACGACAGGCGCTTTACACTTGTCATACATGTTTAAACGTAGACAAAGTAAAAGCTGCGATTTGTTTTCCTTGTGCGATTGAGTGTCATTCTGACCATGATATAGTTGAGCTATACACCAAACGATATTTCAGATGCGACTGTGGAAACTCAAAATTTGCTGGTGTTTGTAACTGTCTATTGTGGGAGGTAATACAAATCTAGTACTAAATTTCAAAGGAGAAGGACGATGAAAATGATTTGAACCGGTACGATGACAATTTTTCTAACCGATATTGCACGTGTCAACGTCCGTATCCAGACCCGGATTATGACGTAGTTTTTTGTATCTTATTATTTTCTTTACTAGGGTGTTGAAGAAATGATTCAATGTGGCATATGCGAAAACTGGTTTCACTTGGAGGTAACCTGATTATGACTTCCTAAATTATCTTAGCATCTCAACATGGATAAAGAATTCGAACCACCCGAAGATTATAACGAGATGACCTGTTTTATGTGCGTTAAAAAGTACGCGTTTCTTTTTATGTATGCATATAACACTGAGGAGACGTTCCGGAAATCTTTTACAAAGAGTAACAGCTTGACTGAGTTTATTTATACTCCAGATTCTAAAAGGTTGAGGAAAACCGTAAATGAAGGTACGACTCATCCGGAAGACAGTTCTTATTGTCGTTTGTCCATGTGGGCTAGTAAAATGAAACAACACGTGCCTGAGTTCTGCTGTTCGTCTCTTGATAACTTGGACAACCTCGACCCCAATCTAGTACCATCAGTGTTTTGGATCTCTGATTGGAGAAGCTTCCTTTGTCGATGCGAAAACTGCAAGGTAATTTGGCTCAAAGTTATGTTAGTTGGAATGCCTACACTACTGTTTCTAAAAACTTGGAAAATTTTAGTGGTAGTGACGTGATGTGCACAATTGTGTATGTCCACAGCGTTAACGAGTATTTGACGTATGGTAAATAATGAGTAGTCATATATAAAGTGGCTTCTTAAATATGATTGTAACGTATTCATTAATGTATTTGTTCCCACTGTCAAATAATAGGCGTAATTAATGTCTAGCGTAAATGCTCGTTTTAAACTACATTGAGCTCCATATATTCTGTATTTGAGAATGGTTCTAGTTAACGAAATTAGTTCAACGACCACGCTATCCTTGTATTTCAAGTAGTTTAGTGAAATATGAGGAGCCATCCCTAGGGAGTGCGGTGCTGTGGTAAATCCAAGTTTAGCAGGCTAATTGGTTTTCTACGGGAAATGTGAGAATGGCTTGCAGGTAGCAATTTAGTGCAGATTTATGGACAGCTCTCCCTTAAGGTCAAGTTTATCGCACATTTAAACTATTTGGTAGTACATGGTGAAAATTTTCCACAAGGCTTCCTGCCGTATTTTCGAAGAAATGGAGTATCATGTCTCACGTTTCGTAAGAGAAAAACTAATGTTTTAAGTTAATAGACAACGTAAAGATAATTATTTTCGTTTTTCTATTGGAAGCCCATCAAAAAACAACAAGTCATCAAATGAGATGACTGGGTCATGTTGCATATGGTTAGCTAGTTTTTGCCGTGAGGTAATGAATTGATAATAGTCCATGAGTACGTTCAGTCAGTCAGCTACAACGTAGGACCAGGCACATATGTGCATCGGTCCAGGTTGCCATACCTCATTAGCACAGCAAGATGAACAGCGGATTCATAGGAGTGGTTAGGTCAAAGGTTGCAATAAGGATATAGTATAGGAAGAAAGAATTAGTTCGTAGACAGAAAGAATGAAGTGATTTTAGTCTCTTAGTTTAAGGGAAGACAGGGAGTGTATGCACCGACGCCATTGTGATCGATTCCGAGCCATGTCACCAAGAGTCTCCAACCATTGGTTACGATAGTCACGCGGACCCCAACCAAGTAGTCTGCATCTACCAACGTGGCTCAGACTAGAAGTTAGTGACTTCGGGCACAGATGCCACGTTTTGGTTTGGCCGTCCCTAACTTTCTTCCAACCATCCCGAACACCGGTTAGCATTGCACGTCGTGGTAATCGGTGTTCAGGTATACGTAATACGTGGCCCAACCATCTCAGTCGATGAAGATTCATAACCACCAAACAAATGGGTGCCAGAAGGTAAAGCCATCATGCTTGTCACCCAAGAGACACTTGTTACGTGTGGTTGAAGGTTCCAAATGATGGGGCTAAAAACAAATTGTGTCAGCGCAGACATATGTTTCCTCCATATTTCTTTATTTTTGTTGTAAACTCAGATTCCTAGTGTCCCTAGTTCAATTTTTTCCTATTTTTCTAATTTCCTAATTTTGCTCACAATATATCGCAGCTTATGATGTACATTTGTGCTAACTATTATGTGGGTTACAATTCACTTACTGTCAGTCCTTAGATATTCGCTGTTATAAAGTAGGTCAAATTCAGATTTTAGGTCTACTCTTTATTTGAGTGGTGCAACTAAGACCATATATACGAGTGATGGGCAGTTAAATAAGTACGATTCCATAACATTTCCCATTGCAAGGTGAACGATATGATTAATATCTCCGGACTTTTCAGATAATAGGTCTGCACCATAGCACTTAAAAACTCTCGTCAAAATCTAGGTAGCAAAGTTAAAGAATTGCAGTAAATCCAAAGACATACGATGGCATATTTTAATGCAGATAAATTGTTGTCCATCATAATTTTTCTCTTCTGTACGAAGTTTTCTTTCACGATAACGATACACATCGGTGTCAGAAAATTTTTCTCAAAAAATACGAATTTTATTCTAGCAACTATGGTTGTCCAGAACCATGGAAAAGTATCGTGTATATGTCCCAGTATCTCATCATCAGTGATGTTCATCTTACATACCACTAAAATCAAGAAACTGATTATTCGCATCTTTATTGTAATAAAGTTTTCTGATTACTGCGCTCTAAAAATGATGGGGGGCGCCCTATGGTCAACAAAGTCCATTGGTTATAATTGGACACAAGTTTGATTCATGTAATGTCCGAAGACAATTACCTTGAAGTCGAGCAGAACGAATGTGTGTGGGGAACTGAATAAAACTAATTATATTCGAATTATATTATGCATTTCAATGTTTTCTAAAGCCCAAGCCCAATAACTTTGTCAGCAACGTATGTGTAGTTTGTCATACTCTGTTGCTTTTCTGGACTCAGTGAAGTCAAGATTTTGATTCATGTTGACATACTTTGATTACCAAGCACTTAATTTTACAATTTTTTGAATTAGGAAATGTACAAGCACCTTAATGTCGAATTTCTATTGGATCCTGAAGACTCAGTATCCCATTACATGCAACTGGGAAAACAGAGGACTAAATCAATTAACGAGGAAGAAAAACGCACACTAAATGAGGCTCTTGCAGAGTTGCCGCATCCTGCAGCAGTAAATTTTGCAACGGGTAACTGTCATAATGCGGATTTATCACGTGATATATAATTATGAACTTATAAGTAGAAATAATAGGAACACCTTAAAGATATACGCTGATTATTTCGTTCATATTCCTCGTAAATAGTTGTTAAATTCAATACGGGTTACTTCATGCTTGCCATTATAATGTTAATCTAAAACGCCAAATCAGTAAACCTCTGACATACTTTTAACAGATAAAAAACAAATAAAGCATACATGAGAGTTTATAAGCTCCCAATAAACAATACTCCCTGCGTACTTGCTCGCAAAATTTGTGATGACAACATCGGAATACTAAAAACTCGAGAGGTATCTACAATGTTTTCTGGCTCCTGTGCATCAACGTGTTTTTCTCACGTTTTCATGTGTCTATACATCATAAAGTTTTTAATAAGTGTCCTAAAACGAAAACAACATACATTTGTAAAGAGAAACAGGGTTTACGCTAGAATCAAGCAGAGTTAGGACGAGTTCGTCACAGTTACTGACTTACATGGTCTTTATTGTACAAGGTAATAACTTATAATACTGAGTGAACAAGAAGTGTTGTATTTGTATTTATTAAGCAAGGACCTGTAAAAATATCTCGTGGCTTTTGTAGTAGACGTATATCACTAAATTCAAAGTGCATTTTCTTGTGAGTTATTTCATTTAGGTATATATTATGGTTAGATTATTGATTCACGTCAACTTTGTTACCATAAGTTTGCGGATATTCAGTTTATACAATATAAATGTTTGGATAAAAACAATCCATTACTTAGTGTCTAGGTTTATATAGCAGCGCTAGACGACACACTCTTGCTCCCAAATAAATAGTAAACTACCAATAAAGCGTAAGAGTATAATAACATCTTTAGATCCTGTTCGTACGTTACAACATTCTAAGTATATATAACTATCTATCCGGAAATAGGTCTCTACTTTGTGATGCGAACATCCATACCCAGAAAATCTAGGTTAAATGATGTCAACAATCAGATTATTGTACCTGAAGAGATAAATGGTATCAATCCCACTTAAATAGACCTAACAAGCTCTGTAATTGAATGCACTAACTGTCATTAGCATATTTTCCAAAACTAATAAAGTATACTTTTAATGTAGGATTCGTACGACTGAAAGAGGCTCTGGAGGAATTTTTCACCAAGAAGAGAGACAAAAATCACGTAAGTACCTCACTTATCTGTTTAGTTCTTTGTACATCAAGTTGTATAAATTGTGAAGAGATCTATGCTAGCCTTTGTTGTCGTAGTTATTTGTGACATATCATACCATGACCTGATAGATAGTGTAGCTCACTCATGTGGAAACTTTTTAGCGTCCTCCCTTGTATAGAGTTCAGTGCTGTCTCAGTATGTCTCGAAAAACGTTTGTTATCCCTACGAAACAAATTTCGTTGTTAGATGTTTAAACCCAATACTTGCCCCATATTTTGTGTCAAATGAAAACTTGTTGACCTAGATGTACGCGATTAGTTTGTTATATTTTCTACTATGAAATAACCATTGACTTCTATTTTTACCATTTCCTACTCATATCCTTTTTCTGTCTTTCAGATTGTAACAGAATCAGAAGTAAAAGCTTTTTTCGAAGACTTTCGGAAGCGCAGTCAATCGTAACTACATTTGACCGAATAAATTTCAATTAATTTATTTCCTGGATTTATAATATATTGAACCTTGACTGTAATTAAATTCCACTCTGATTAGTGCTCATCGATGTCTATATTTTGCTGATAATCTCTAGTTTTATTTCCAATACAGTTGCCACTTAAAAATACCGAAATTGTGACAAGCTTCACAATGTATTTATAAACGACTCTAGGCCTCAGCTTTTTCGCCTCTAGTTATACAGCTGTGACCAACCTCAGTAGTTAGTAAGATTATAAGCTTTGTGTCCATCTACACACGACTGTATCCATCATAGGTATTAAAATATTCGTAGCATTTATGTATCTGATATCACGACCGTTGCTGCTACTTTTACGTGGTGGTCGGGCTTGCCTGTCATGATGAACCAATCGAGCTATAGTGGCTGGAACAATAGTTCCTCAAGGTCCCACCATGCCAGACAGGTCGGTTGAAGAGCGGTAAGACTGGGAGCAGCAAACCCATAGGCGAACTATAACGGCGATACCGCCATGCCACAAAGGAAATGGGTTAGAAAACGTCTACTCGGAGAATGCACACTTTGCCTTAGCCCACGGATATCCATCTCCGACGGTAGGGTCTCAACAAGTACGAAGCTAACACCAAAATTACTAACAAAAGTATCGTGTGTGACCGACCTCAAGCAGTTGTTTCTTGAGCACTGTTGTCAAGCCCTCGGATGGTTCAGACGAACTCTAACCCAATTTCCTTCTCAGATACTTTTAGAAGAACCCTTCCACGATGTGGGCAACCGGGAAGTGATAACTGCCCTCATACCTCTCACAACACTCAAGCCCACAGTATTCATAATCAATCTCCCTCTCCAATTCCTAAGTATTGTGTAACGTGTGACAGATTATTTACATTGAGATATTGTATGGTATGATAGGTGAGATAGAAGACTTGGAAGGAAGTGCAGATGTCACGGAACTTCCGCATGTGGTTAGTATGTAAACTGGAGACAATAGACTTAGTAGATGTGACTCATTATCAAATTGGGTACATCGTTAACTATCTTAGAACCATATTGTTACGACCAGCAATCTGCTCGGGGTATGGCCCCCTAAGATAACCACCTGCTTCGGTTTGGGCACCCGGGCAGTATCACAGCCCACACGCAAAAACGACTTATCTCGCTTCGAAAAACAATCAAATGATTCAAATTATTATCATTACTATTATTGTCATTATTATTACTATTATTATTTACCACATTATTCACCCTCTTTTATACTTAGACAGTGGCTCGTCTTTGGTGGGAATTCGACTGTATCTAAACGTTCTCTAGTCACTGTCCGGTTGGAAATTGCATGTTTCCACTGAATATGAGTACTGAAGCAGTTTTTCTGAAACCACGTGCACCATTCAAACTGGCTGCCTTCAACGTTCGCACACTTATGCAGGTCGGACAACAGATAGGGCTGGCTATGTCTTTGTAAAGTCTTAATATTGATGTTTGTTGTCTATCCGAGACCCGTATTCAAGACTCTGGTGAAGTGCTACTAATTCGCTCTCCATCGGATCTACAACGCGTCAGTGAGAGCAGTTTTGCTCTATGCTTGTGAAACCTGGCCTCTCCGAGTTGAGGGTGTTGGACGACTCTTTTTGTTTGATCATCGCTGTTTCCGAAGGATTGCTGACATCCAGTGGCAACACCATGTCAGTAATGCAGAGGTTCGGCATCGTGTGTTCGGGCACAGAGATGATAATGCAATTGGTGTTACCATCTTGAAACACCGACTTCGGTGGCTTGGACATGTTCTACGAATGTCGTCCCAGAGAATTTCACGTCGTGCATTATTTGCCGACTCTGGGACTGGTTGTAAGAAGCGGAGAGGTGGTCAGTGTATGACGTGGTGTTGTGGTATGAAAGAAAGCTGCAACGGGCTGGCTTGTGTTGGTCCTTCACGACTCCCTGGTTGAGGACCGAGAGATGGTGCGACACAGTGGCTAGAGACGTTATCAGATATGGCTCAGAATAGAAGCCAGTGACGATCCTACTGTAACCTTCTTTTACTTCATAAAAAGTGGTTGTGTCTCCCTTAACTGAAAGATTTCTTCTGATTGTACCTTTCCGTTCCCTCACTACTACCGAACTACCTTACACCAATCTCTTCGGTATTGTTCTCTCTTTTTTACGCTCCTTACCTTTTTTTCTTTTCTCCTCGAATTCTCATTGTTTTGTGTGGCGCATATATATTGGCGCTCTCTTGTAGTAATATTTATGTGTTCAAATAAACAAATAAATCTGCACACACTAAATAAGGCGCCTGAAGTCCATCGTGCGCTGAGTTCTGAAGAAGTAAGGGCTGAAGTTAGGTTAAGTTATTTATTCACAAACACGGATGGAGGCTTGGTAATCCTGGTGCTTCATCTAGATATGTCCAGTCTTGAGAAACTTTTCTCCTTAGTAGCCGCCGCTAATTTCTTCATTTTCGCCACGAAAAATCCATCGACATTGTGCTTGTGTGGGTAAAAACGTCGAACGCGTGCCATATGTGGATGGAACTGATAGCCTTTGAATCTGTGGAGATAATTATACTTTAGAGAACACTCACCTACGCAGTGAAACCCTTCTCCCCAAACAGTTTCGTTTCCTCCAGACGTACCTTTCTTCGTCTTAACGCAAAGTTTACAACATTCTCATTCTCTTCTACCTTGTTAAATAGAAACAAAAAGATAATAATGTCAAGACTTTTAATGTAGAACAGGAAATATAATTATATTTAAACATGAAGTTTATGTACGAAAATATTTCGAACTTTGAATGTCTACTTGTATGTTATTGTCAGTGTGACTTAGTTGATGGGCTAGAGTAACTTGCGAAGTGCTTCATTAAATGACCTTTGGAATGAGCACTATACGAGACTAAATCTCTGACTGGAGTGACTGGGACAGTGTTATTCATGTCCAACCGACATCGTCGAAGCACGTTTCCTGGAGTAGGCATAGATTTTAGAGAAACTAAGAGTTTTCAAATCAGTATTTCAGTTTACGAGTTCACTATCGGATTAAGCCATGTTGTTTCTAACTCGCGTTTGTGTAACGATCCATAAAATTAGTCATTGTGTTACTCTCCCATATATTCATAATATCGAATAATCAGAGCCTTTGTCTACACTCTACAGAACCTTGTCAATAAATATTCTTACTAGTAGTCCCAGGTTACTTACCAATATGGAGCATGTGGAGTAGACTACGTAACCTCCAACTTTGCAGGAATCAATAGCAGCTACAAGTAATCTTTTCTGCAATTCTACACACTTCCGAATTTCGTCGTTATTCTTGGTGGTTTTCACAGAAGGATCTTTGGCAATTATACCAGTTCCAGAACACGGTGCGTCTACGAGGACTCGATCGAAGTTAGACATAATATTTGGAAATTTCCGCCCATTTTCTGTACAGATGACAGTATTTGTCACACCCATACGATGACAATTTCCAAGTAACGCTTTGGCTCTATTGGGGTTTATTTCATTTGCAAAAATGGTGCCAGTATTTTTCATGAGTTGTGCTGTACATAAAAAAGGAGAATTAAATAAGGGCATAACATAGCACAGAAATAGACTTCTGGATGATAACTAAAACAATTATTACAACTGAACAGAAAAAGGATAAAAGCTTTTCGACTACACTCCATACTGAAAAACTATTCCTACGTACTCCACTGAAAAGAAGTCGAGATGATGTGATGAGATGAAATAGCAGAATCATATTCTTTACTCATTATGATTTTTATTCAAAATTACCTCCATTTAATTTAGTGTGATGATTACTCAGTGTAGTATTTGTTTTGTTTTCTTCTCAGCGTATCCTCGCGTCAGTGCCCCAATACTAATTCAATGCTAGAAGTCAAGCCGAGAATTGGTGATAATAGTTTTGCGAATTTGGAAATAAATTTGAGATAAAGCTGAAGGGCACTAACTCATGAACTGAGTACCGGAATATTCGTATTTGACGGTGCTTAAATCAGTGGAGTCAGATGACTCGTATCAGGTTAAAAACCCTCCGCATCTACTGTACGGCCTGGAAAGTTGATAGAAATAAATCGTAGCTGACACCGCACGATCACATTTGTGTCACAAAAGTGTCCAAATAACTTTAAAAGATTCTGGCTTTGTTACTCAGTATTGTAAGCATGAACTATGATGTCTTCCTGATGAGATTCAACACCGTCAAATCAGGTGATAATCTGATTTATATTCTTGTGAAATCTCGCAGATAAAACAATACATCTGAACGGTAGGAGCTTGTATACGAGCAGGCCGAATATTCCATTATTGCTAGTTAGTTCACCAGGGATCGCATCCAACGGAATTCGCCAATGCACTTGCCTTACGTCTGTTTTAGAAAAGTAATTCGGTTCTCGTAATTTGAATAGTGTATCTTCAGTTTGTTCAGACGTATGACTGTGTTACAATAACCGAGTATTTGGTGTCAGATGGTAGTCATCACAATTTCAAGTGTTTTCTATATATTTACGGCCACAACAGCGCATTGAATCCAACAAATCTTGCTGCTGATTTGCTTTTATGCTTCTGGGTTTTATCAGCTCATAGTAATTTAAGTTTAGTAATGTTAGTTCTTTATAATACACCGCACGCCACGTTTCGAATCCTTATCAAACAAACACCTAGCACTTACGTGACAGATCCGAAGGCAATCGAGTTGGTTTTCTATCCGACTAGAACTGGGTTTGGAATCATTCTTTTCCGCAGCCTCACCACCTGATAATCTACAATTCTGAGATATTTGTGACCGGTATCTAATGCTAGTTTGGGCTCATTCTCAGCGCCTCATTTTTTCATACGATTGATGAGGAATAAAACTCTTGAGAAAACCTTTCAGAAAAACAAGTATGCTGAACTTCATTATTTTGACGTCAGAATGCTGAGGATTGTGGATAGCTTATAAGAACGACAAACTTATAATATGTTGCTTAAATCGTTGTTCTTGCTTATGAGTAATGGAAAAGAGTATACACAAAACTGTCGAGTGACCAGACATTTACAATTCTTCAGCTAAAATATAAGCAATTAACTGTTTCACAACAAACTAACCTAAAGATGTTTATATTAGGCTCGTGCACACTTTTCCTCAGCTCTAATCAGTAAGCTGTGGAACTCACTACTCTTCGGTTGAATCTTTCAAGGCTCAACGGTTACTTTAATTCTGTAAGTAGTAAGGGAGAATACTTTGAGTGTTACTCACCGAGCACACCTATTATTAACTAAATTGTCACTCCCCTCAGTTCTTAGGAGGAATATTAAGAAATCATAGCCCTCCGAAAATAAGACCTCATTCTAACTGCCCAGACGCAGATCCCAAGGAACAAATAGTTCGCCGATTCCTCCTGGCAAAGTTGAAGTTGACACGGATAAGAGTAAAGATTCGTACCTATCTTACAGATATGAATAAGTAAGCTATGTAGAATCATTAGTATATATGAAGTATCACTCGCGTGTGACGGGACTAGGTTTAGTACCACAGGGTTTAAAATCAGAAACCCGGTAAATAAATCCAATAATTTCCGAAACCTGAGTGATATAATGCTATCTCGAGAACTGGACATACCCGAAACAGCAAAAACCAATTCCCTGTAATGGATTCAGATAACCATCTCAAATAACACAAGTTAATAAAAACACGGTGAATAATAGTACTGAAGATACACCAATAATTCCAAAACTTCGACTAATTAGTACATCAAATTAAATTGCAAACTTGCCAATGTAAGTTGTTTTCCCACCAGGCGCAGCACACAAATCCAAGATACGCTCGCCTAACTGAGGGGACAAGGCAATTACAGGAAGCATAGAACTAGCTCCCTGAAGTATATAATGACCGGCAAGATATTCTGGTGTTGCGCCTAATGGTACTTGTGATGAATAAACAACAAGTCCAACTTTGCTCCACGGTTCCAAAGGATCAAGGTTTACACCGCGATTTATTAAAGCCTATCTAATTATTATAAAACAAAGAGGACTTGCTTGAGCCAATTCCCTGCGACGTGTCTTTAAGGTGTTTGTGCGAATGGTCACTGGCCTGTCGACTTCATTAGCTTCTAAAACCTCAACAATCTGCGACTGAATTTGAGTTCCAATATTTATTACCTCTTTGGGAAACAAATCAAGAAGTTTCACCATAAGGAACTGGTTGTACGAATAGCGAGAACATAAGTCGCTTATCAGAGTCCGAACACACAAACTCCTATTGAGGTCTGCAGGTGCTCTGTTTTTGAAATCGGAGAGGATATAAAGCCAGTTCCGAATGCGTTGGTCTAATGTACTGGAATCCATTGCAGACTTTCCAACCGCATCTTCGGAAGTGAGGTTTGTGATAATATCCTCTTTTTCATTTACAGGTTCTACAGAATCCGCATTTGTCTCAATGTCTTCTTCCAAATCCGATAGACGTCCAAAATCATCAACCATAAGTTCGTCACCGTCATTTTCAAAAAATCCACTTTGAGTCGCAGACACACTGTCAGATGACTCGTAAACCTAATAGAGAGAAGGTCATCAACAAAAGTACCTTTTTAGATGTCCTATTTTCAACAAGTTCATCAGATTTCAGGAAACGCTTCTTAAGCCTTTGTTTTTGTCTGCTTGTTAGTTTCTCTAAGAACACTGAGACTTTGATAGCAACAAACCCCTATGTTTAACAACTCCATCCCTAATTTTCGGATCCTCTTGGTGAGTCAATCTTTTTCCTCCCTTCTTTACGGCCGATTTCACCATGGTCATGACCAGAAACGAAATAGGCGGCTTGAATTCACTAGGTCAAAGCAACCGACCTGTGTCAGTAGCTAATAGAAACAAACTTCAAAACATAAACATTGGTTGTGGAAAGTAGTGAACTGTCTTTTTTGGGTCTGTGTGTAAGTAGTGAGCGGGCTTGGTTGACTATGGTGAGATACAACGTGTCCGTTGAGATCTTCCAAAACTCCCCACGCTTTTATCGACCCTGTTCATCTGCATTCGGTAGGATTATTATTGGACTAAAATGAACACTTTCACCTCCTTACGTGTACCGTTTTACACAAAGGCCAGAAGCAGTACCAATCAAGGACATTACTGCTGAGAAATTGGCACACGCCTTCGTCGAACGGTGGGCTGTAAACTTTGACTGTCCACCAAGTATCACTTGAGACCGTGAACGTTAATACGAATGTGGCTTTACCGTTGTATTACCACACTCCTTAGAACCACACGATTCCGAACGACCGCCTTCCATCCACAAGCTATTGGGTTAGTAGAACGATTTCGCTGGAAGTTGAAAGCTTCACCCTAAACGGCGAAAGCGTCACAGTGGGCTGGCGCACTTCCACTCATGTTATTCGGTATTAGCAATGCATTGAAGGCTGGCGTCGAATATACTGGAGCTCAACTCGTTCGCGGAACGACACTTTGACCTTCAGGAGAATTTGTGGACCCTTCATCTTTTTCGATGAATATTGATCTAAACTCCTGCACAAGCACGCTTACAAATGCAATGTGTTCAATTAAACCTGGATCAAAATCTTCATTGTACTTGTTTTTTATTACTATATTGTATCACTTGACCCCTTACAGTAAGGAAAGATGACCAAACTCTACTGAACATAGTAAGCTGTCAGACGAGTGTTTACCAACAACAAACCCATTGGGTTCAAGCTTCTGATTCGCCATGTCTTCGGTTCATCACTACCCTACGTACCGATGACCTTCCAAGTACATTTTCGAACTCCCTCACTGCTGTCTTCTGATTTGACTTGGTTGACATACTTCAATCGTGGAAGCGTCACTGGTAAGGTGTTGTCAAACTTTAAATACATTTGGCACCAAAATTCTTTGGTGCAATTATTTCTGTTTTCCTCAGAAATACAATTATATATATGCTTCAATAATTTTCTCAACATATTCTCTATTCGAAGCACGTTACGCTGTATTTTGAGGCACACCGTGTTGACTCTAGGGCAGGAGGAACGAAAATATTGAAATCTGTCGATACTTCAGTCAGGATGTCCGTGAAACCTAATAGGAATAAATCTTAATATACGTATCAGAGAGATTTAAATAATAAATCACTTATGTAATGAGATTTGGCTTTGGATATTAACATGAAAAAATTAAACAAACGCACAAATATCATAAGTTCTATTTTCTCTTTGCAGTTAATGATATAGTTACCGGACCCTGTTTACCCGATTATTTGTAATTACACTGACGCTGAATAGGTGACACAAATCAATTTTGGAAAGTAACTTATCAGGGAGACTTGAACCGGACTGCCGCAACGGAGGCTTGCTGGGAGTTTGATCCATATGGTTGCATATCGATCATACTCTGGTGTTAGTCTCTATAGGTATTCAGAATCAATGAAATGTTCATTTTTGTGTATATTGTGGTATGATATGCCAGATTACGAAAGGACGGATCGTGAAGATCACGATGCATTATTGAGAAACCGGTAAAGTATTCAAGGTTTGATTTAAGCTCATGATCCGAAGAAATTCTAGCTTGTTGGAATACTCCAAACTAGCCTTGATGAATCTTATCTGAACACATCTAATTTCCATCAAATTATATTGCATTCAAAAGGAAATTTCATATTCAACGATGGGTATGATAAAACATTTATATTATAAAAGTCTAGCTTCACTGGTGTTGAAATTTATCAATATGAATTCAGTGAGTCTTCTCGATTTGGACACTCGATATTCAGTGTGCCCGGAAAAGATCAAACTGTTACTATACCTTAAATCGAAGTCATGAATAGTGTTGAGAGATTTCTTTACGCGTTTGTGTAGAACCAGGTTTAGGTTATGGCTGCAGCCAATTCAAATGAACTCACCTTTGCCACCATTCTGTGATAGACTCCACGGCGCATCCCATTCGTCCAGGTTGTCTATGCCTTGAGTTACTGCCGAAATACACCCTCCTTTGGTACGAGGTGAGAATGAATAGACCACTTTTAGGTCATCATCAGAAAAAGTTTAACTTATCGAAAGAGTGGGCGCACGTCATTGAAGAAAACGTGAAAAGTAATGAGCCAACCATGCTTCCTTCTATAACCCTACCGAATACTTACATAGGCATAGAACGGTTTGGCTAGGATCTGTTAAAAACCCAAGATAAAAGCTGTTCTCGTATGTGAATTGAGAAATATTTTACGAGGTTATGTGTGACGTCGCAGGTAGCTTTACTAAAATAAAAGTATGTGATTATCGCGGATTCGAGAGGTCATCGATGTGAGTCAAGACGTAGGAAGACTTGCGCATTATGTCGTAAGTCAGGTCGAACGAAAACATCAGTTGACTGCAGTCGAGTGGAAACATTTTAACTGAACGCATCGCGTTTGTAAGCCTGCTCGTGTAGGAGATTAGGTCTACATTCAATGAAGAAGATAAAAGATCCACGAATTCTCGTACAAGTCTGAGTGTCGTCCCATAAACAAGCTAAGCTACTGTAGGAAGCAATTTCCTACAGGTTTAATCCTGGGCTATTCTCTAGACCGTCGAATACAGAGTCTAGGTTCTGCCAAAGTCAGAACAAGCAAGCTATTTGGCTAGATAAACTTTATCTGTTTCTAAAACATAAATTAACATCGTTAGTGTACAAACAATCTGTACGGCCTATTGATATAGGGAAAAAAACAGACGAATAACATACCGAACAGTAGCCAGAGAATAGGAAAAATGAGTCAACAAGCAAATATTGGTTTACAATGAACATTAAACTGTGATTGGTTGATAAAGAGATACAGTAGTACAAGGTCAAAAGGAGTTAATGTGGTGGTGGGCGTTTCCCTTTATTATTGGTGAGTTCGTCTATCGATCACATTTTACAGCTGCAGTGTATCCAATGTCAGCTTTCACTGCATTTCGAATACCTAGTAGGGCGAGTGAAGGAGCGTCGGTCCACTGTGAATCGTTTGCAGCTGATAGTGAAGGTTTTCGTTGTCGGTGAAAACGTTCTACCAACTCGTTTGTTCGTGAGTGGCAGGCGGTCGTGAGAAGTGAGAATAAATTTCGAGTGCTCCGCCTGGAAACCAGTACTTAGTAAAGTGCCTCGAGGTTCTGTCCTAGGTCCTTTACCTTTTATGCGCGGATGCATGCGCATTTCAGCCAGAGTTAAATATTGTGATTAGCTGGTCTAAAGAGTGGCTGATGCGTATCAACGCGGCAAAGTGTGTCTGTATGCACTTCGGGGATACAAAGGTAAATATGAACAGCATACGGGAAGTGCCTGCACCCGTGGTTCGGTCTCACAGAAATATTGGGGGTGATAATATGCCATGATCTTAAGACCACGGCCCACTGTCGTGACTGATGGATTTATAACACTTTGGGCCTTAAGGCGAACAATCACCGAGTTAGTTACTACCATGCTCACTACAGTATACACAACCTTAGTGAGAACTAAACTTGGAAACCGCGTTCAGTCTGTAAGCCCTGTTTAAAAGGTGACTCCGATATCCTGGCAAAAATATAGAGGTCAGCTACCCTTACAAATACAAAGAGCGGCTTGAAAAGCTAGATCTCTTAAAATTTTCCTACCACAGACTAAGAGTTGATCTGGTTTTTATGTACAGAGTATTAAGATATGATTTTGGACTCGATATATCCTCTCTTTTTCTGCCCACTAGATCGGGACATCTCAAGGGACATAGCAGGTGAGTAGAAAATCGAAGAACGAACAAAATATTCGTAACATACAGGTTCCCACACCGACCCGTCAATTCTTAGAACCAGTCACACAAAACGGTGGTGTCTTCGACTTCAGTTGCCTCATTCAACAGAAGACTAAACATTCACAGAAACATACTAGAAAAGGAATAACACAGGCCGTAGGCCTTCTGTCCTCGGTACCTGAAGGTCAGAATCTGATTATAACGGGATTATTATTGAGATCGCTTTTCCACTACATAGACTCATATACTAAATATCAAGCTGCTCACTGAAATGCTTGTGGTTTAATTTGCTTGTTATCCTTTAAATTGGCGGTCGCGAAGTTTCAAACCAAACGGCTCCTCTATTGTTGGTTCAAGCACTACTTCCTGACAAGTTGTCTTATGGGCTAATTGTTCGCTTCAATCCTCCTTTTTACGGCCGATCAGTTTGTAGTGATCTTGCTACCACTCTCTGGCCTTTTTATGTACTCAGAATCGCATGTTGTGCAGGGGTAAGTCAACATTATACAAATTCTCATTAATTACCAAATTCCACGTTTTGTCGATGCAACTATACTGTTAACTAATTGACTAACTGTTAGGTATGGTGTCTGTTCGATCCAGGTCTTACGAAATAATAATGGCGTTAACATTAGGATTTCAACGAGTAAACTGACCCCTCTAACCCAATCTCCCAATTTTGGGGAGAATTAGGAGAAACCGCAATAGAAAATTTCGAGGAAATGGTAAAAACCCCAAAGTTCCCTCAGATCTAGGGAAATTCTCTGAAGTTTGAGGAAAACCCCGAAATATGTAGATTTCTAAGGGGAACAGCAACAGCAGAAAAACACTTCTTATACTTAATTTGTTCCACTTGAACATTCGCTTTACATGGATCATGCGAGCCACTTGTATCCATCGAAACAGGACTTGCACCCAAGAAAATTTTCGTTACTCGACTTCGAATAATCTTTACTCTGGCAGTTAGTGGTGTTGGCAGATAACTATTTGCATTCCCATATTGGGATAAGCAGATGACTGTTCGGACATATAAAGCACGGTTGTTTGGGGTTAGTCCCTTAAGTACTAGAATGACGCCTGTCCTCAATAGGCACATTTCTTTTCGAAGTCTACTTAGTACCGAAAGATTTTGTCTCGATTTGAAGACAGCATAAGTCTTAACACTTTATTTTTAAATACCTGGTCAGGCTTTAGGTTTCCTAACGAAAATTAATGAGCCATTCGAGCTTAGTCATAAGTTTCACTGAGTTTTTGGTGTTTGAATTACAGCATAAAATGTCAGGGTTTATATTCTTTTGGCCGTCACTTCATGGAAATTCGTGGGGTGATTGCAGTCCAATAGGATTTCTATGATGTCTTTTTTCCCGGGTTTCCATAGAGACTACAAGTATAAATTAGCATTCAAGTTTAGCACTTGATAAGGAAAAATTGATCGTAAAGCACTATTTCAGCTTGTGGCTTGAATGTTACACTTTTCGTTCAGTACAGTAACAAATATTTTTCCTTGTAATTTCCTTATGCAATACGTTCGGTTTTCATTTATTGCAAGTCCTAGCAAATAAACTGGACCTTGTTGAGGTCAAGCCACCACAGAAACTCTGGTACACTGGCTGTATTCATATTGTGCAGCAACCAAGTTGTAACTTGATTGATGCGACCCTTTGCAAGAATCCAGAGCTTTCATGTTTACATATAACAAAAACATCTTTTGCTACACTTATAGTGCTATGTTTTTAAACTCGAAACATTTTATTTTTGCCCTTTATTCATGTGTATTTGGTTGCCAGCACAAAATAAAGCGGCTAAAGATAATTTGTAACAAGAAAGCTGTCAAAGGCCACGCCTCCTACGTGTAAACTCGATTTAAAGGAACGATCAGAAACTAGTTACTAATAACGTTTGCTGTCTAATTGCAGAACTAGCCTCGAATACTGTTGTTATAACTAATCCCTCCCACAAGAAACATAGATTTTATTCATATAGATATAACTGCAATCCAAGCACGAGTATGCTGACATGTAGTTTTTACGTAAAAATGGATTGCTCTTAGTTCATCCTAATTGCGATGTTACTGGGTTTAAATTACGTTAGCTAGCTACTTATTTTTATTTTCACTGGCACGTTCGTCTGTTACTCCCTACAATTCTCAAACCATTAACTACAGACTTATTAACATACCGCTTCATTTCTAAAAGCACCCAGTATCCTATCCACTTCACTATGTGAATGTAATACATGACAACAGTGTTTGCAGTCCATTGTATCCAATTTCACCCAGGTCCAAATCGTCCATCACCTAGTAGTTCTTCCTTCATCGTCATCCTTCTCATTTATCTTTATCAACACCCACCACCAATGCTAATGGTTCGAGTTCACGAAATGTTATTCCTGGTCTCCTTAAACCACACTCCAATCTACATATTGGAGCTTTCAGTGTTCGAACCTTGGGTCAGATAGGACAACAGACCTCCTTAGCTAGGACACTAGAGTCTTGCGCGGTCGATATGTGCTACGTCTCCGAAACGTGCATGCAGGGTCCAAATACCATCATTCATTTGACCTCACCTTGTCAATATAAAAAACCGGTGCGATTTATTCTTACAGTATCTGGAGACCCCACTACTAATTCACGTATCCTCTTTGGTGTCGGTATAGCAGTATTGAAATCTAGAGCAGAACAAGTTCTCACTGACTGTATTTTAATAGACAGTCTCCTGTGCGCTGTTCAACTAAACGAGACTAAGAACTCGAAAAGATAGAAACACACTGCATTGCCTCTTCGTTGTCTCTCTCTACGCTCTCATTGATTACTGCTCGAACGAAGTCAAAGTTTAGTTTTATGGGAAGCTATCCAATCTCACTCAGAAAGTCAAACGCTTAGATGTAATAGTGGCGGGTGATTTTGTTCCTTATTTAGGTAAACTAAACTAAACCGAAATGCACTTAGGCGGGTCTTACGGTGTAGCGGCTCAGCAAAAGATAATGACGACAACTATGCTCAGATAACTGCCTATTTCTGGCAAACGGCAACTTTAAACATGAGAAACATCGTCTGACGTGGCGACCTACACAATCGACTCATCGATGAATTGAAATAGATCGAGCTGCCATTAGCCGTCTTCGGAGGAGCTCGGTTAATGACTGTCATCCATTTTAGAGCATATGTTTACACTCAAATCATGCTCTAGTTCGAGCACGTATTTGGCTGAGTCTTACTGGATGTAGAAAAGCCACAGCGAGAAAACCCCTTAGACTTCAACTTAATGATGAAATAATTAAGAACATATTTCAGGAACAACTAGAGAAGAAGCTAGTCAACTTTGAAAATGATATCCATCACGATGCAGCGCGGTATGGTTACCAAAAAGCTGTAGAAGCAGCAGTGACATCTACTAGTAACTCAGACCAAAGGTTAGGAAAAATCGGGGGGTCTCAGCGGTGTCTATAGAACTCAGGCTCCGAACGCGATGAGAAGCGGGGTTAGCTTAAACGTAGGCTGATAAAAAGCCTACGTAGCAATCGCGAGTAGTGGTGGGTAGTGAAAGTAAAAGTGATGGGAAAAGCAGCAGCGATAAGTAACAGTAGACTACTGTTCATAATTATCAAGGAGACGGAGTTAAAAACCAATCTGTCGGTGACCTTCATCCACACTTCAGCCACTCACTATCTCCAAGCAACCTGAGTAGCAAATAAATGTAAGTTTTCTAACTTTTAGTGAGGTTGGAAAGGCTATGGGTAGTCTAAAAGAAAGGAGAGCATCAGGACCTGGTGGACTAACCCCTGAGATTTTTAAGGGTGGTAGTCCAGTTTTAGCAGTTAAATTAACTGGGATCTTAGCTAAAATCCAGGAACTAAATGTAATCCCATCTGACTGGCCTCAATCACTGATTGTCCCAGTCTATGAGAAAGAACAGAACTCCTCTTATGACAATCACAAAGGAATCAGTCTGACCAATGTAGAGTTTGAAATATCAGTAGTTCGCTCCGTTCTACTTTGTGGATGTGAAACATGGTCGTTAAGAGGAGAGGATATTCATAGATTACTGGTGTTCGATCATAGGTGTCTTCGAAGCATTGCTGGTGTATTTTTGGACCACGGGGTAAACAATGACTGAATTAAGAACAACGTATTAGGTTAAGATGGGAAATTGGTTGATGAGGTAGTAAATCTTCATCAACTGAGGTGGTTGGGACATGTTTTACGTAAGCGCAACCACCGCTTACCTCGACGAGAAATGTTTTCTGGTTCAGGATTAGGCTGGGAAAATGCTAGGGGCTACCTAACCATAAAGTCACTGACAATTAAGCTTGGCCATTTTGGCAGGTGTAGACTGCCTGGTTGGGGCCCGCATGATTATCGTAAACAATGGTTAGAGACTTTGAACGACATGACTCAAAATCGTCTGCAATGATACAGGTGCATCCATTCTTTGTCTTCCCCGAAATTCTAAGATTCTATATTCCTCATAACGTTTTTCGTTTTTATCTCACTGAATTATATTTCCTTTTAGTGTCGTATCTTTGATGCCTTATCTTTCCTATTACCACTGATACTGTTACTACCTCTATTATTCTGGGATTTGGTTTGACAGTTCCATCCCTCTGTGCTAATGGAGTATAGCGACTTGAACCGATGTACATACATATAGGTTCTACGTTGCTACTGACTGAATGACATTAGAAAATGCACTTCCATGGTTCACACTTTTTTATCTCTAATGAAGTAACGTATGTTCTTGTATATCCCTAACTGCTTGTCCTAATCATAAAGATCTTTCTAACGTGATACTCTGAGGACAGTATTTCAAATATGACTCGTTAGTCTGAATTATTCGTTGAGAAATTTAATTTCTGGATCGTAAAATGAAATTAGTCCTGCTACTAACCAGAAAGTGCACTGCTGGTAGATTTGTTTCCCTTGTTGTTGTACTGAAATAATATCTGATGGACAGAACTACATATCGTTCAAACTTGACAAACGCCAAGTTGTCTGATGTTTCATAATCTAGACAATCTATTTTCCAACGTTTTTTCTTGCAAACTAGAGTGTATCTTGAATATAAATTATACTCGGTACTAAAGCTGAATAGCATTTAGTGGTCTGATTTTGCATCCAGAAGAAATGGCAAACTTTGGTTTCAATTACCATAATCTAATAATAAGGTTCTGAGGTTAAAGCTATACCCTTTTGTCCCACAAATATGCTTATATAGACAAAAAATTACGTAATTACTATTTCCTAAGCACCCATCCTCCCAAACCTGTGATTGTAACTGCTCCCTTAACCTAGTTTTAGCGAACATGTGTTCTTAACCAATATAACCCCAGTCCCAAGTAAAAATGACTTACCTCCTCCAAAATTTACCAAAAGGCGAACTCATCACATTTCTGTTAACCAGACAATAAATCCCCGTAGGTACTTACAACTTGCGAAAAACGTTTAGATAATCCATCCTAATTCTACTTAATAAGTATACCAAGATTATTTGCGGAGAAACTCCCCGCTTGGCTATCAAGGTATGTAAGCAATACCCCTGTTGACTCAGCTTGATCTCATACGTAATACACAGTGAAATGAGCCATTAAGGAAATAACCTGGATCAGTAATCCACCGGATTGTTCTATCTGGAATACGTGATATTTGGAATCTCTTTGCAACTACTTCATACTTTTGCTTAAAGTGAAAGTAGTTTTGTCACGTATTAGTCTAATTATCTTGATATTCAAGATTAGTTCCAAGAGATGTGAGCTCTGGAGATAAAAAGACAGTTATTGTGCTACACAAGTATTTACAAAGGATGACAATGAATTCGGTTAGTGTAATGTTTACTAAGGGAAACGAGCTAGTGGCTCCTCAAATGACCGGAACAGCAAGAAATAGATCAGTTCAACTAGGTATTAGGAACTTTTATATCCACCGTTTAACCACTTAAGTGGGACACTGACAGTTTTTGTGTAAATAATTAAGAAAAGGCATGCATCTGTAAGTCAGATCAAATCTAAAGATTTTCGTAATTTACAGACCAATGTTTCCCCATATTTTTCACTTTCGGGTTTATGAAGTCTAGAGATGTTTTATGATTATCCCGTTTAGTTCTTTTAATAAATCACTCGAAATGCTGAGATAGTTTTGTGCATATTTGTGATTATTTTTTTTACCGGTTCACAGATAATTAATGATGATTTCTACAGACCAAGAACTCAAAGTCTCTCGCATGACAAAACGATCGCAGAATAAAAAACTCTTCGGTCGCGATAATTACAAGTTGCGTGAGTTCGTATTGCAACCATATTGTATTCGGTACTTCGAAGTTAGCGGTGGAGTACGTTGATCGTTTTTCAAAATGTATACTTTTGGTTTTAGAATCGTGGTAAAGAGAAAGGTCAGCTTCTTCTCAGTCATGTTAAGTTCATCGAGAAAGTACAAGATGATGAGCTTGATAACAAAAAGAATGCTTTCCAGGTATGTTTAAAGTGACATACTTTCTATTGTTATTTGGAAGGTTGCTTATGCAGAAGATGCGATTTCTAGCACTTGGTATCTCTTGTATATTGTCGCGAATTCCGCCATTGAACGAGATGACTGGATTAGTCTAGTCAGATTTTGTAAGTACTACAGCTAGACATATGTTAGCAATCTTTCTGTACATACTTCTCCCTACCTATTTGCTCAATAAAACTCTTTTAAACATTTTAGATACACGTGAACGAGGAGCTAGTTTTCTGCCACGTTATCATCCCGGTGTTTGGAAACGTCCTGGTAGATATAGCTGTTGTGATGACATCAATCGTCGATCTATGGGGTGTCAGCCCACTAATGAACCAGGTCCATCTGTGGTCATTGAGCAACTTTGGCGTACAGCTGCGGGAGTCGACTCAAATAACTGTCAACCTCAAATTCCGCAGGTTGCAACGACAGCTAATCTAGTGACAAATACGCAACCTTCTTATCCTGTTTCTACTCCTCAATTAGTTACAACGCAGCTTAATTCAAACGTGCAACTTACGTCTAATCCACTATCCGTATCTGATTTAAATTCGGCTAACATAGCTTCCACTGCAGCTTCATTTATTCCACTTACTTCCGCTGTCGGGTTGCCTGTATTTCACCAAACACCTGGTCTTTCAACTCCTGTCGCAGGAGTGTTAATGTCTACCGCCGTCACTAGTTCGATTTCTCCTTCAACTTTATTTCAAATACAACAACAACAACAACTTCTACTACAACAGAAACAACAACAGCTTGCTATGCTTGCAAATAGCAGCGCGGGGCAATTTTCCCATTTAAATAATGCATTTCGTCGGTCAGGAATGAATCAAAATCGAGGACATTCCTTACGTTATATTCAGCCAACTTTTGATATGGTAAGTGTCAATCCATATTCTTCTAGTCTCAGTCAGTTATAATTCATAATAGGGACTGTAAGTCTAGACAGTAGGTTTTTAGTTTATAAAACATTGATATAAGTGGGTGAGACTACAACTTTTGGGCGACCTTTGAACGAATCTTAAGTGACCTTGAGAAATTTAAGCCAATTAGGAAACAGTCGGTATAGAGTAAGAATATGTTATACAAAACCGAAAAGCTGGAGTAGATACTTCTTTAACATGGTTTAAAAACGTTCCTAGGCTAGAAAGAGGCTCTGCAGTTCTGAAATCGTAATGTATACAATACAGGAACTCATCCATTTGACTCCATGAGAGTCGCAAGATTTCTTTTAGCCTCGACCACAATGCTTCTATATTATTTGTGTATACTCCGGTGGTGGAGTCTACAAAATGCCGCCTGTGGACGACGACACGATGCACGTAATCAAGTCTATGTAAGTGTCGATATGCTCTCCAGTCATCCGTGTATATTGTGGATCCCGGCTGCAAATACTCTCGTATAATTGGTATTATATTTGTAGCTTCTCAGTTTCTAACATGCTGGAAGTGTTCTTTTTGAGGTAGCCTATCGTATATACTAAGAACCTGTTAAGTATATTTATGGAAATCCTACTAACCCAGTGTTCTATAACACTTCGTTCTCTATTGAATTTGGGTTTTCTAACGACTGTTTCGTCTACTTCTACGATTCTCTCAACTCCGAACGACCCATGCAAGCTTGTCATTTTTTATCGCACAATACTCATACAAAGGTTGCAGCCAGTGTTACTTGTGCTCTTATTATCCAGTTTGCAAGAATTATCATAATCGGTTTTAGTCTTAATCGTAATTGGGCGAAAACAGTTCCCGTCCTAGCAGAATTTTTCCTCCAACTTATATTACATCGAAATAAAATATCACCATGATAGTCTGCACAAGATCCAGGAGTCATCTGATTACTGCAATCTTAAATAAAGGAAGTTCTCAGTAATCTGATTTGTTGTAGTCGCTCAATTATAACGTGTTCTTTAAAATCAGCTGTAAATCAATCGTACGTGAGCATTGACTATTGAAATAGGCGCCGTCACCTTGTGATAGCTCAAACGCTTCTGATTGACTCGTCCATAAATTATAGTTTCGTTGATGCAAGTTGATTATTAAGACTAAATATTCAACTTAGGTGGTTAGAACATGTCTTACGTATGACTAACCATCTTTTACGTGGAATGTTAGTTTACATAAGACTAAAAACTGGAGGTGGGTAGATACGGTCTAAGCATCAATTCATGAAGTCACTATTTATTTATATGAACACATAAATATTGGTACAAAGGGGCACCGAATACATATGTGTCACAAAAGTCACTTGATTTGTGTGTAGGCTATGATACTGCCAGGCTGCCCAAACCGAAGTCAATGGGATCAGACCAAGTGGTATGGAACAGAATGCGAAATAAGCTTCTTCGGGACTGAATCCCTTCATCACTCCTTAATATTACTTCTATCCCCACCATCAACTTTTTTTTGACTTAACCCTCACGGACTACCAATGCTAACCACTCGTGTTCATGAAATATTATTCATGGTCTCCTGAAACCGCTATCTGAAGTGCATGTTTGGACTTTCAATTCTCGAAACTTATACCAAATCAAACAACAAATTTCGTTAACTTGGACTTTAAAATATCCTGTCATTGATGTATTGTGTATCTGCGAAACACGCACATATAATTTAAAATTAGTTATTCACTTAGCCTCATCTAGTCATTATTGAGAACATGGGCGAATTCCCTTCCATGTATCTAGCGTTTTTACTACGTTTTTGGTCTCTCTGGGATAGGTATAGTACTAAGTTCAAAAGTAGAACAAGCTCTCCCAGACTGGATTCCCCATAAACAGTCACTTGAGCTCAGTCCGATCAAAATGGGGAATAAAGAACGTGGGAAAATAAGAATGCACGATGTCGTCGTATCTGTCTACGCTCCCACTGACTGTAGCTCAAATAAAGTAAATGAGTCCTACAAATATCCTTTTGCTCTACTACAAAAAGACAACCGCCCAGAAGTAAGTTTAGCAACAGATTTTAGTACCCAATTAGGTTTTTAAAACCAAAGCGAAAGATTCGTAAGTGAGCCTCACAGCTCAGGGAACAGGCAACTGCGACTGACTGCTGTAACTATGATGTAACAATCATTCCTTATTAGCAAACACCAACTTTAAGCATAAAGAGAAACAATGTTTGAGATGGTGACCTTCACAATGGACTCAACGTTGAACGCATATAGAACATACCTCCTTTAGTCATCTTTGGAAAGACTCAGCATAAAACTGCCACTCATTCTGTGGCAAAAATCTAAACTATGATCATGCTTTACTAAGAGCACGCGTTTGTTTGAATCTTATTAGATTCAGTACAGCCTCATCAAGAAAACCCCTTGAAGTTCAACTTAACGAAAAAAGCCAGAAGTATATATCAACAACAACTAGAGAAGCAGTTGGTCCATCGTCGAAGTAACTTTAACCCCGCTGTGAGTCGGCATGATATCTAGAGAGCATTGAAAACAGTGATGATATCTACTGTAACTAACTAAAAAGCCAAGACAAAGCAGTGGGCTTCAGTAGTATGTGTTGAGTTGATATATGCTCGGGAACTCATCTTTCGGACTCTAAACATCATGAGCATCGAAAGCAACTTAAGTGTATATTGACAAAAAGTCCACGCAGTGACCGCGAGCAGCGGTGGGCAGCAAAGCAGTAGAAAGAACAGTAGCGATAGAAAGTAGTTGACAACTTTTCAGACTTATGAAGGAACTCGGTATTATGAATTCAGAAGTCAGTTAGACTATTCCAGGGGAAAATGGGACCGTGATCTACTCTCAACACAGGAGGTTAGTACGATGAACAGAACACTTTGACTGCTCTGAAACTACCCTTCAGTTGCTTAATTTTAGCAAGCAATATTAATGGGATGTCAATATGAGACTTTCAAATCTTAACGAAATTATAAATGCCATAGCTAATTAAAAGGGAGAAATGGTAGCAGATCCTGATGGATTAAGGGTGGTAGTCCAGTTTTAGCAGTTAAATTAACTGGGATCTTAGCTAAAATCCAAGACCTGAATATAATCCCATCTGACTGGTCTCGATTGCTGATTGTCCCAGTTTATGAGGAAGAACGGAACTTCTCTTATGACAATCACAAAGGAATCAGTTTGACCAATATATAAAGTCTGAAGTATCAGCTTCAATAATCATTTAACGCTTATCTAGGGTTCACGAAAAGAAAACTATGGCAAGTCAGGGTAATCTCAGTCCTAAACATGGATGTGTAGATGAACTATTCGTCCTGCGTTACGTTCCCGAACACGGCCATATGAACGGTCGACCATAGTTGTATTCATTGATCTTGCGATAGAACTTAACTCCTTAAATAACTCACTAAAGTTTGCGCATATTCTTCAGTCGAGAGGTTTTACTAGCACACTTAATACCATACTGTACTTTTGAGTTTCCTGCAGATCACGCCTTAATTATATTTTACGTTTTTTAGATGCAAAACACCCCGGAAATTTTCAGAAGATACTAGGATTATTTCTTTTTAACCCCGAAATAACTATACAGTCTGTTCATTCCAGTCTCGTTATGGAATCCTAAAGTAGATTATTGATATCTAGAAATTTGAAGGTGAACAGAACTCTAAGCATCAGTGTGTGGATAAATCAGACATGAAAGATGAAATAATGATTTGCGAATAACTTTACTTCATTTAACGATATATCCGGCTTCGTTGTTGAGAAACACTATTATTTTCTGGAAAAATTGTCACCGAAGACTAAGTAAAGCTTGGATTTATTCCAGTCTTTTCAGATTTTTAAGTTGCTCTTGGACTTTTAGTTTAAGTAATTAGACTCATCTATAAGGTCACCGAGAGCACATTCTTTGACTGTATTATGTAGGTAATAGATTCGTTCCCAACTTCATTTTTGGCTCGTTCTTGTTCTCTGGTGGCCGGGACACTGAATAAAAATGTACATAAGTTACTATGGTATCAAAAGAAAAGATATTTGTGAGACATAACATTTTACTTGTTAATTTTTTGCTAATGAGGATTTCGTTTCAGACTAAACACATTGAATATAGCAATTACTATTGTCAATATTTTTATTTAATTTTTTTTTAAGTTTCTGTACACGAAGTATACTACTTATTATCCTAACCTGCTTTTAGGATGAAGGAGAAAATACCGTTATTGCAGTACACAACTACAATCCTGTAAGGGAAAACCAACTGCCTTTACAAAAAGGTGAAAAGTATTACGTAGTCAATCAGAGTAATTCTCAATGGTGGTATGTTAGGAATATGGCTGGTCAATTGGGTTATGTACCTACCAATTATGTTCATAAACCAAACAGTCTGAATTCATTCGAGTAAGTTTATATTATCGATCCTAATAATTTTATTACTAACTAACCAAATATTTCATTTCCATCGAGCTTTTGGCAACAATTCAGTTTCATGAGAATTCCACCATGTAAAGACATTTATTGCCCGACCGTAAGTGCTCCCTCGACGTGATGGTCGGGACTGCCTATCATGATGTCTTGAACGAGCTACATTGGCTGCAACACATGTTTCTTTAGGTCCTACGAGGTCAGATAGTTCGGTTGGAGGACAGTATGACTAAAAGCACCAACCTAAGGTCTGATGGTGAAGCCGTACTACTTTTTGTATAGGGGTATGACAGTGTGGCGTACGCTACGTATATCGACATAAGTATTATGTGACACCTATAGGAATTGGGAGGCCTGGCAGCAGAAGGTTATGAAGATCGGATCGAAGAGATCGGGAACAGAGAGTAATTGCAATAGCAATGAAGCTTGAGACAGTTGATGGAGGATTCGCAAATGAAGTCTTGAATATATGGTTTTCACATTTTACCAAAGAACTCTGTAGATCTGTGTTGAACAATTAATTGGTTATCCTAACCTGAGTTCTCATTCATTACATTTTGGTGTCACTATCAAGGGAAAGGCGGAGAGGGGGATTTCTGCGAAAGCCGTTGCGGGGACTAGAGAGGAGGCGCTTGTTGGGGCAGTCTTGTGCGGCTAGATGACGTCGAGTGGAGCGTTATAGAGGGGCAGCGGTTGCTGTCGACGTAGAGGGGAAGTATGACGTGTATCTGCCGGCGGACATCGGATGTAGGTGACTCGACATTTCTCTGGAGCGCATGCGTCAAATGTCCCGGGTGTTGGGTGTACATCGGATTTATATGGTCCGGCATTGCTACGGTGGTCAGCGCGCCGACGGGGACCGTGGCACAGCCTGCGAAAACGGAGAAATTGGCACGGAGAGTATAACCACCTCAAGAGCGAATGTTTAAAGGGGGCGAGTGTGGGTTATGCTACTCATGTTGACATAATTAGTATTTAACGCCAATCGGAAGTGGAAAACCTGCCACTAGAAGACTAATTAGATTGAGTTGAAGAGAATAGAAAGGAATCTAAATTGGAAGGATCATAAACAATGTCAAGGACAAATGATGGAAAGTTTCAAATTCAGTATTCAATGTATTGTTCTCATATTTTAATAAGATATTGTGTAATTTTGTTTAGGCCATAAATTGGTTTTACCCACCTGTTATAGTCCATTACGACAGCAGCATCTGCCTTCTCACAAAGGAAGAGAGGGATTAGAAAGGTCGACCCTAAAAATACACACCTCGTCTTATTCCACGAAGTTCCGGTAAGATCGCAAAAAAGTACGGACCCAACACGAACATTACTCACAAGATTGTCGTGTGTAACCAATCTCAAGCAGTTATCCCTTGGGCACTGCAGTCACGCTCTCAGGTCACTCAACCAACTCTAACCCAATTTCCATTACAGGTACCTCTATAAAAACCTTTATACGGTATGGGCGACGAGAAACTGCAAACCGCCCTGAAACCTTAAGCAGCACTGTAATCAAAGTCAATATATCTTTATCGGCACCCATCACCAATGCTAATGGTTCGAGTTCGCGAAATGTTATTCCTGGTCTCCTTAAACCACACTCCAATCTACATATTGGAGCTTTCAGTGTTCGAACCTTGGGTCAGATAGGACAACAGACCTCCTTAGCTAGGACACTAGAGTCTTGCGCGGTCGATATGTGCTACGTCTCCGAAACGTGCATGCAGGGTCCAAATACCATCATTCATTTGACCTCACCTTGTCAATATAAAAAACCGGTGCGATTTATTCTTACAGTATCTGGAGACCCCACTACTAATTCACGTATCCTCTTTGGTGTCGGTATAGCAGTATTGAAATCTAGAGCAGAACAAGTTCTCACTGACTGTATTTTAATAGACAGTCTCCTGTGCGCTGTTCAACTAAACAAGACTAAGAACTCGAAAAGATAGAAACACACTGCATTGCCTCTTCGTTGTCTCTCTCTACGCTCTCATTGATTACTGCTCGAACGAAGTCAAAGTTTAGTTTTATGGGAAGCTATCCAATCTCACTCAGAAAGTCAAACGCTTAGATGTAATAGTGGCGGGTGATTTTGTTCCTTATTTAGGTAAACTAAACTAAACCGAAATGCACTTAGGCGGGTCTTACGGTGTAGCGGCTCAGCAAAAGATAATGACGACAACTATGCTCAGATAACTGCCTATTTCTGGCAAACGGCAACTTTAAACATGAGAAACATCGTCTGACGTGGCGACCTACACAATCGACTCATCGATGAATTGAAATAGATCGAGCTGCCATTAGCCGTCTTCGGAGGAGCTCGGTTAATGACTGTCATCCATTTTAGAGCATATGTTTACACTCAAATCATGCTCTAGTTCGAGCACGTATTTGGCTGAGTCTTACTGGATGTAGAAAAGCCACAGCGAGAAAACCCCTTAGACTTCAACTTAATGATGAAATAATTAAGAACATATTTCAGGAACAACTAGAGAAGAAGCTAGTCAACTTTGAAAATGATATCCATCACGATGCAGCGCGGTATGGTTACCAAAAAGCTGTAGAAGCAGCAGTGACATCTACTAGTAACTCAGACCAAAAGGTTAGGAAAAATCGGGGGGTCTCAGCGGTGTCTATAGAACTCAGGCTCCGAACGCGATGAGAAGCGGGGTTAGCTTAAACGTAGGCTGATAAAAAGCCTACGTAGCAATCGCGAGTAGTGGTGGGTAGTGAAAGTAAAAGTGATGGGAAAAGCAGCAGCGATAAGTAACAGTAGACTACTGTTCATAATTATCAAGGAGACGGAGTTAAAAACCAATCTGTCGGTGACCTTCATCCACACTTCAGCCACTCACTATCTCCAAGCAACCTGAGTAGCAAATAAATGTAAGTTTTCTAACTTTTAGTGAGGTTGGAAAGGCTATGGGTAGTCTAAAAGAAAGGAGAGCATCAGGACCTGGTGGACTAACCCCTGAGATTTTTAAGGGTGGTAGTCCAGTTTTAGCAGTTAAATTAACTGGGATCTTAGCTAAAATCCAGGAACTAAATGTAATCCCATCTGACTGGCCTCAATCGCTGATTGTCCCAGTCTATGAGAAAGAACAGAACTCCTCTTATGACAATCACAAAGGAATCAGTCTGACCAATGTAGAGTTTGAAATATCAGTAGTTCGCTCCGTTCTACTTTGTGGATGTGAAACATGGTCGTTAAGAGGAGAGGATATTCATAGATTACTGGTGTTCGATCATAGGTGTCTTCGAAGCATTGCTGGTGTATTTTTGGACCACGGGGTAAACAATGACTGAATTAAGAACAACGTATTAGGTTAAGATGGGAAATTGGTTGATGAGGTAGTAAATCTTCATCAACTGAGGTGGTTGGGACATGTTTTACGTAAGCGCAACCACCGCTTACCTCGACGAGAAATGTTTTCTGGTTCAGGATTAGGCTGGGAAAATGCTAGGGGCTACCTAACCATAAAGTCACTGACAATTAAGCTTGGCCATTTTGGCAGGTGTAGACTGCCTGGTTGGGGCCCGCATGATTATCGTAAACAATGGTTAGAGACTTTGAACGACATGACTCAAAATCGTCTGCAATGATACAGGTGCATCCATTCTTTGTCTTCCCCGAAATTCTAAGATTCTATATTCCTCATAACGTTTTTCGTTTTTATCTCACTGAATTATATTTCCTTTTAGTGTCGTATCTTTGATGCCTTATCTTTCCTATTACCACTGATACTGTTACTACCTCTATTATTCTGGGATTTGGTTTGACAGTTCCATCCCTCTGTGCTAATGGAGTATAGCGACTTGAACCGATGTACATACATATAGGTTCTACGTTGCTACTGACTGAATGACATTAGAAAATGCACTTCCATGGTTCACACTTTTTTATCTCTAATGAAGTAACGTATGTTCTTGTATATCCCTAACTGCTTGTCCTAATCATAAAGATCTTTCTAACGTGATACTCTGAGGACAGTATTTCAAATATGACTCGTTAGTCTGAATTATTCGTTGAGAAATTTAATTTCTGGATCGTAAAATGAAATTAGTCCTGCTACTAACCAGAAAGTGCACTGCTGGTAGATTTGTTTCCCTTGTTGTTGTACTGAAATAATATCTGATGGACAGAACTACATATCGTTCAAACTTGACAAACGCCAAGTTGTCTGATGTTTCATAATCTAGACAATCTATTTTCCAACGTTTTTTCTTGCAAACTAGAGTGTATCTTGAATATAAATTATACTCGGTACTAAAGCTGAATAGCATTTAGTGGTCTGATTTTGCATCCAGAAGAAATGGCAAACTTTGGTTTCAATTACCATAATCTAATAATAAGGTTCTGAGGTTAAAGCTATACCCTTTTGTCCCACAAATATGCTTATATAGACAAAAAATTACGTAATTACTATTTCCTAAGCACCCATCCTCCCAAACCTGTGATTGTAACTGCTCCCTTAACCTAGTTTTAGCGAACATGTGTTCTTAACCAATATAACCCCAGTCCCAAGTAAAAATGACTTACCTCCTCCAAAATTTACCAAAAGGCGAACTCATCACATTTCTGTTAACCAGACAATAAATCCCCGTAGGTACTTACAACTTGCGAAAAACGTTTAGATAATCCATCCTAATTCTACTTAATAAGTATACCAAGATTATTTGCGGAGAAACTCCCCACTTGGCTATCAAGGTATGTAAGCAATACCCCTGTTGACTCAGCTTGATCTCATACGTAATACACAGTGAAATGAGCCATTAAGGAAATAACCTGGATCAGTAATCCACCGGATTGTTCTATCTGGAATACGTGATATTTGGAATCTCTTTGCAACTACTTCATACTTTTGCTTAAAGTGAAAGTAGTTTTGTCACGTATTAGTCTAATTATCTTGATATTCAAGATTAGTTCCAAGAGATGTGAGCTCTGGAGATAAAAAGACAGTTATTGTGCTACACAAGTATTTACAAAGGATGACAATGAATTCGGTTAGTGTAATGTTTACTAAGGGAAACGAGCTAGTGGCTCCTCAAATGACCGGAACAGCAAGAAATAGATCAGTTCAACTAGGTATTAGGAACTTTTATATCCACCGTTTAACCACTTAAGTGGGACACTGACAGTTTTTGTGTAAAGAATTAAGAAAAGGCATGCATCTGTAAGTCAGATCAAATCTAAAGATTTTCGTAATTTATAGACCAATGTTTCCCCATATTTTTCACTTTCGGGTTTATGAAGTCTAGAGATGTTTTATGATTATCCCGTTTAGTTCTTTTAATAAATCACTCGAAATGCTGAGATAGTTTTGTGCATATTTGTGATTATTTTTTTTACCGGTTCACAGATAATTAATGATGATTCATACAGAGTAAAACACTTTAGCGTCAGAATATATAAATTAATCTGTAAATTTTTCCTTCACATTTTGGAGACTTGCCATAATGTCTTGCATATTTCAAGAAAAATTCCCTGGTCTTTTCATTAATACACACAAAGTTAGTCGTCTGTTCGAGTTTGGTTTGTTCAGTATTTGACTATTCATCGCGTATTCATATTTCCATTCTATTGGTTTGTTTTGATTATTGATGTCTGTCAAAGACATATTTGTTAGAAACACTCTATTTTAAAATTTGTTAGAAGCATATACTTAAAGTTCCAACCACCATAATGAATAATTTTATTTAGCATAAAGAAACTTAGTTATTTTCATTTGAATCTAAATCCTAAATTTGTGCTATGTGGCTAACTCTAATTTTTGTTCCGTATCCTGTGTTCCAAGTTTGATTTTCATGTCCTTTCTTAAACCAGATCACAAACAGTTTTCTCAATTCAATATTTAATATTCAAATTACTGATATGCATTTTGAACCGTATCTAAGGAATGATAAATAAACTGATATTCCCTCACATCTATCATCACATACTCTCAATAATCCACTACTCTTTATTTTTTACTGTTCTATTTTTTTGATTTTCTAATTTTCATAGTGTGTAAGTAACGTAGATATTTTTGATAGACAAACTTAATCTCTGTCGTTCTCGTGTGTGTATTTCAGTTGCAGTTGTATCCATTACTTGGTAATGTCTTCAATCCTCACTTGTCTGAGAGAATTGTATTAGGTTGGTCGAAATCATGTCGATGATTTCGTCTAGTGAATACTTACAAGTTGGAATAGTGGGCTGTGTGCAACGTATCGTGTAAAAGATGATGATATTACGTAGTTGTATGAACTTTGATAAGTGGAGCCCCATCCAAATCGTTATCGTTTTAGTGAAAAGTCGAGTTTTCGGACATGTTAGTTACAGCCGTATCGTCAATTTCTCGGTGCAAATCCGAAGTATTTAAACCATAGTATTTTATAACTTCTTTTACAAGCCCTTATCGAAATATCCCTCCCATAACATTGAAGAAATACAAAATATTATAAAACAAATTTAATTCATCAATTGAGGATTATGTTAAACATTTTATCCTTCGATTGCATACAAAGTTGAATTATTTCCTTCTTGATACCAACTTTTACCAGATACACTTCCAAAGAAAGTATAGTACGTGTAAAGAGGTAACTTAGCTTTGCTAGAAAATATTTACTTTGATCGTCTGTAAATCTATCTGTTGAGCTTTAAAAAAAGAATGCATTTGACTCCTGGTAAGTTATTTGTTTAATATCTGCTACTATATCCTCACCACACACTAAACTGATTGTTTATAACTGAAAAATGTTGGTTAATAGATCATACAAATAGTGGTTCAAACTTGTATCTTACTTCCAAAGATATTTATCATACTAGGCGTAACAGTTGCGTATTTTTAATTTATCAAGTTTCTGTTTTTTGGTCAAGTGTTCACGTGTTCGTTTGTCGAATAAGCTGTTTTTAACAATTTTCTTACCAATCATTTCATCTTTGTTGAGAAAATTTCACATGCGCTGTCTATAAGATTGACGAATTAACTAGATTTACAATGCGATAACTTTGTCACTGTTTAGATCCATCTTTCCCCAAAACAGAACAGGGAACATAAGTTAACGAGAAAAGTATAGTGATAAACTATTTTAGAACACAAATACGGAGAGAGAGTATTCAAGGAAATATAAAACTCCCTTGTATAACTTTCTATTGATATTATCAACGAAGAAATCGAAGTTCTAGTTTACACTATTTTTTATCATTTTACTTAAAATTTATCTGCAGGTAAGGAATTTTATCAGTCTTTAGTTAAACTTTTTGTCTCTTAGTTTCCTGTTCATATCAAACTACTTTAGTTTTATTTCATTTCGTGCCATTCATTTGGGATGTTAGTACATTAATATCATTTTCATTCGTTGTATTTCAGTTGGTATTACAAAGATATTACCAGGCAACAAGCTGAAGCTATTTTACTAGACGAGAATCGCGAAGGTTGCTTTCTTGTTCGAGACTCAGTTAGCAAAAAGAATACATACACTTTATCAGTTACTTCGAAAGACCCTGAAGCGTAAGTTTCATAATAGATAAATTTGATAGAAAACCAACCATAATTTTATGTCATCTCATATATGAAGATGATTTTCTTCACTGATTTACTTAACTCAAGGTAATGCTAATCAATGTGTACCAGTGGGAAGCCGTTTCATCCTTATTCGTTTTAAATAATATTATTTTATCATCAAACTGCAGGCATTTTGTCTTCTGTTTCGAAATAGTCGATTTTTTTCTCGCATTATTGGCCAACTTAGTGTAACTCGGTTACGCTCTCATGTTCAACTGTAAATTGAGACCACAATCCTGTGCCTATTTATTGATTTAGGTTATCTATCATTACAAAGTTTTAAAAAGATGAAATAATTACATAATGGTAACGTTACAAAACAAAATAGTCGTACGGAGTTAAAATTAGACTAATCTAAAATCTCTTATATTAATGTATTAAACAATATTCTAATTGACTCAGTTATGCCTCGTATTTACAGTTATATGTAGTGTCCTCGTCATATGCACCCGAATAACTTGATCATAGACCTACTGATGGAAATAACATTCTCGTCGACTGAATTCTGGGGTATTAATCTCCTTCCAGGAGGTCCGCTTATCGACTTAGAATACGCAGATGACATAGTCCTGTTTGGTGAAGACGCTGAGAAAATGCAGAGTCTTCTGGTAGCACTAAGCAACAATGCCAGAATGTTTGGGATGCGCTTCTCTCCCTCTAAATGCAAGTTGTTGCTTCAGGACTGGTCTGCGTCAACACCTGAACTAAGGATAGGGAGTGAAGTAGTCGAACGCGTTGACAACTTCACTTATCTTGGAAGTCTGATCAGCCCTAATGGGTTGGTATCGGACGAAATCTCAGCACGGATTCGAAAAGCTCGCTTGGCTTTTGCCAACTTGCGTCACCTTTGGCGAAGGCGAGATATCCGTCTATCAATAAAAGGACGAGTATACTGCGCGGCAGTTCGTTCTGTTTTAATTTACGGCAGCGAAACATGGCCCTTAAGAGTAGAAGACACCCGTAAGCTACTAGTATTTGACCACAGATGCCTTAGAAATATTGCTGGCATCTGTTGGGATCACCGGGTAAGTAATAGTGAGGTTAGACGCAGGGTATTAGGGAATGATGGTAAATCAGTTGATGAGGTTATGAATCTTCATCGACTGAGATGGTTGGGCCACGTATTACGTATGCCTGAACACCGATTACCACGACGTGCAATGCTAACCGGGGTAGGGGATGGTTGGAAGAAAGTTAGGGGCGGCCAAGCCAAAACGTGGCACCAGTGCTTGAAGTCACTGATTTTGGTGTGAATCATGTTGGTAGATACATACTACGTGGTTGGGGTCCGCGTGACTATCGTTACCAATGGTTGGAGATTCTTGGTGACACGGCTCAGAATTGATCACAATGGCGTCGGTGTATACACTCTTCGTCTTCATTTAAACTATGAGACCAAAATTATTTCATATCTTTCTTTCTTCGTACTAAATCTTTCTTCCTGTACTATACCCTTGTATGCAATCTTTCTGTTATATATTACCACCATTGACTTACCCGACCGTTGTTGCTACCTTGACGTGGTGGTCGGGCTTGTCTATCGTGATGAAGCAACCGAGCTATACTGGCTGGAACAACCGTTCCTCAAGGTCCTACCATGTCAGACAGGTCGGTTGAAGAGCGGTAAGACTAAAAGCAACAAACCCAAGGTCCGAAGGCGAAGTCGTACTGCTGACTGTACAGAGGTGTGACAGCAGTAAGGTGTTTTCTTCAGACAACCAGCATGACAGCGATGCTGCCTTCCCACAAGGAGGGGTGGGGTTAGAAAAGGTCGACCCTAAAAATGCACACCTCGCCTTATCCCACGGATATCCGTCTCCGGCGGTAAGGTCCCAATAAGTACGGAGCTAACACAAAAATTACCCATAACAAGGTCGTGTGTGACCGACCTCAAGCAGTTGTCCCTTGGCCACTGCGGTCACACTCTCAGGTCACTAAGACCACCTCTAATCCAGTTTCCTTTTCAGGTACCTCCAGAAGAACCCTTCCACGGTGTGGGCAACCGGGAAGTGATAACCGCCCTCATACCTCTAACAGCACTCTAGACCACTGTATTCATAATCAACCTTCCTCTTCAATTCCTATTATTCCTCCTACATCGACTTTCAACTTTAAATTTCCTCTCTCGGCTTCCACCTCAAGTGTCACCATAGCCAACGATTCTAGTGCGCAAAATACTGTCCCAGGTCTACTGAAACCTCGCTCCAAACTACACATTGGAGCCTTCAACGTACGAACCCTATGTCAAATTGGTTAGCAGGCTTCCTTGGCTAAAACCCTAGAGTCTCTTACCATTGACGTGTGCTGTGTCTCCGAAACACGCATACAGGATTCCAGTGTGGTCATTCACCTGACCTCACCTCGGCAAAACGGAGAACCAACGAGGTACACCCTTCGTGTATCTGGTGACCCGATGGCAAGTTCTCGTGGACTGGCAGGTGTAGGCATAGCACTAAGCATGAGGGCCGAACAAGCACTGCTAGAGTGGATCCCCGTCAACAGTCGTCTATGTGCTGTTCGGCTGAACGGCTACGTAAGAACTCGGAAGGATAGGGACACACGTCGTTGCCTTTTTGTCGTTTCTGCCTACGCTCCCACTGACTGCAGCTCAGATGATGTGAAAGATGAATTTTACAGAAAGCTGTCCGAACTTCTTCAGAAAGCTAAACGCTCAGACATAGTACTCGTAGCAGGTGATTTTAATGCTCAGATAGGCAGTTTAAACCAAACAGAAAGGCATTTAGGTGGATATTTTAGTATTCCGACACAGCGAACAGACAATGGTGAGCGTCTGCTGCAGCTATGTTCAGACAATCGTTTATTTTTAGCAAACACAAATTTTAAGCATAAGGAGAGACATCGTTTAACGTGGCGACCCCCTACACCAAACCAACGATGGACTCAAATAGACCATATTGCCATCAGTCACCGTTGGAGAGGGTCGGTACAAGATTGTCGCTCATTCTAGAGTACCTGCTTGGACTCCGACCACGCCCTAATACGGGCACGCATCTGCTTGCGCCTCACTGGACGCAAAAAAGCCACAGTAAAAAGACCCATTAGAACCGAACTGAGTAGCGAGGAAACCAAAAGTAGGTTCCAGGAACACCTGAGGTCACGATTAGGTAGTTCTGAAGACGAGGCTGACCCAGATGTTGCTTGGAAAGATATACAATCAGCTGTGGAAACAGCAGTGACATCCATTAGTGACTTAAACCACAGAGTTGCAAGGAACCAGTGGATTTCTTCAAGGTCTGTCACACTGATGGATTCTCGCAAACTCGTCCCATCAGGTTCCGAACATGATGAAGAGCGAAAACAAATCAGATCTAGGTTAAGAAAAAGTCTAAAGAACGACCGTGAGCAGTGGTGGGCAACGAAAGCAAAAGAGATGGAAAAGGCGGCGACTATAGGGAACACAAGACAGCTTTACAGACTAATAAAAGAATCTGGAATTAATAAGTCAAGTGTAAGTGAGATTATTTCGGAAAAGGATGATACTCTCATCTGCTCCCAGTCCAGACGTTTAGAACGATGGGCGGAACATTTTAGAGAAAAGTTCAGCTGGCCTTCAGCTACTCTACAACTACCCTCCATTCCCAGACAGTGTGAATGGAACATTGAAATAGGTCCCCCTACTCTTGCTGAAGTTCAAAAGGCTATAGTGAATCTGAAACGAGGAAGGGCAGCTGGTCCAGATGGATTGGCTCCAGAGGTCTTTAAGGATGGTGGTCCAATTTTAGCGATTAAGTTGACTAATATTTTAGCTAAGATCTGGGAATTAGACTTTATCCCATCTGACTGGTCGCAATCACTTATCGTCCCAATATATAAGAAAGGGTCAAAATCATCCTGTGACAACCACAGAGGGATTAGTTTAACAAACATAGTATCTAAAATACTAGCCTCGATAATTATCAAACGCATAACTAAGACTCGTGAACTACAAACTCGAGAGAACCAAGCTGGCTTTAGACCTGGTCGTGGCTGCATCGACCACATATTCACCATTCGTCAGGTTCTAGAACACAGGCATACCTATCGGCGTCCGACGATGGTGGTCTTTCTTGACTTAAAAGCAGCATTTGACTCGGTAGACCGCGAGACTCTGTGGCAGTGTCTGTCATTGAAAGGCGTACCTCAGAAGTACATAAACCTTGTGAGGGCTCTTTACTCGAACACTACTAGTCGAGTCAGGGCTTATGGCGAACTGTCATCTACTTTTGCAACCTCAAGTGGTGTCCGTCAAGGCTGTCCACTTTCTCCATTTTTGTTTAACTTCATCATAGACCTATTGATGGAAATAACATTCTCGTCGTTTGAATTCTCGGGTATTGATCTCCTTCCAGGAGGTCCGCTTATCGACTTAGAATACGCAGATGACATAGTCCTGTTTGGTGAAGACGCTGAGAAAATGCAGAGTCTTCTGGTAGCACTAAGCAACAATGCCAGAATGTTTGGGATGCGCTTCTCTCCCTCTAAATGCAAGTTGTTGCTTCAGGACTGGTCTGCGTCAACACCTGAACTAAGGATAGGGAGTGAAGTAGTCGAACGCGTTGACAACTTCACTTATCTTGGAAGTCTGATCAGCCCTAATGGGTTGGTATCGGACGAAATCTCAGCACGGATTCGAAAAGCTCGCTTGGCTTTTGCCAACTTGCGTCACCTTTGGCGAAGGCGAGATATCCGTCTATCAATAAAAGGACGAGTATACTGCGCGGCAGTTCGTTCTGTTTTAATTTACGGCAGCGAAACATGGCCCTTAAGAGTAGAAGACACCCGTAAGCTACTAGTATTTGACCACAGATGCCTTAGAAATATTGCTGGCATCTGTTGGGATCACCGGGTAAGTAATAGTGAGGTTAGACGCAGGGTATTAGGGAATGATGGTAAATCAGTTGATGAGGTTATGAATCTTCATCGACTGAGATGGTTGGGCCACGTATTACGTATGCCTGAACACCGATTACCACGACGTGCAATGCTAACCGGGGTAGGGGATGGTTGGAAGAAAGTTAGGGGCGGCCAAACCAAAACGTGGCATCAGTGCTTAAAGTCACTAACTTCTAGTCTGAGCCACGTTGGTAGATGCAGACTACTTGGTTGCGGTCCGCGTGACTTTCGTAACCAATGGTTGGAGACTCTTGGTGACATGGCTCAGACTCGATCACAATGGCGTCGGTGTATACACTCCCTGTCTTCCCTTAAACTAAGAGACTAAAATCACTTCATTCTTTCTGTCTAAGAACTAATTCTTTCTTCCTATACTATATCCTTATTGCAACCTTTGACCTAACCACTCCTATGAATCCGGTGTTCATCTTGCTGTGCTAATGAGGTATGGCAACCTGGACCGATGCACATATGTGCCTGGTCCTACGTTGTAGCTGACTGACTGACTGACCATTGACTTAACTCCTTCTATGAAGTCGGTGTTCATCTTGCTGTGTTTATGAGGTGTGGCAACTTGGACCGATGCACATATGTGCCTTGTCCTACGTTGTAGCTGACTGACATGTAGTAACTTCACTATGTGTTCAAGACAATATAAAAACTAGTTGTCTTAGATTGCTTTCCCGGAATTGTTTTAACATATATTTTTCATGATGTTAGTAACTATTATCGTTGTTCTAAAGTTATCAGTTTATAATTGATCGTGGTTACATCAAAGAAATTTTATACGTTTCGGTGTGTTCTCTTCATTCATCTTTTTACTCGTCTTTTTATTTAATTCTTTCCTTCTTTTTTATTTAGTTCTTCTTTTTTCCTTAATTTTGTTTTAAGATTATATTTATACGTATATATCTTAAGCCATATACCTCTTTTCAACATCGAAATAGTGAATTCTGTGTACTCGCTAAATACTATCAATCACCCTTCATTCGTGTTTTTAAATACTTTTGTTGCCCAATTCAAGTTTGATGTATTTCTCAAAATTAACGCCTGCGATTGAAGAATATTTGCTTGCTACTGAAAATTGTTTGTACGGTTGCCGAAAATATTAAAACTTGTGTATTTCTTTTGATACTTATTTTATTTCAGGCCAGGAAAATTAAAAGTACATCATTATCATATCCATAGAACAGAATCATCAAGTCTGAATGGACACATGAATGGATGTGGTGTCGGTAGTGGTAGTGGCAGCAATAGTGGTTTAAATTCTACTGCATCTGTGGCTGCCAGCGTTACAGTTACAACAACAACATCTAATACCATTGCAAACGTGAATGGTTCAAATGGTACAGGGTCAAATACCCCCAATGTTGGATCAACCACTAATGGTGAAGCACAATATTACTTATCTGAAAAGCATGCGTTCCCTACAATCAGTGATGTTATACATTATCATAAGCATAATTCTGGTGGACTAGTTGTCCGACTCAGATCGCCACCGACCAAAGATCGAGAAAGTCCTGTCACTGCTGGAATGGGTCTAGATGAGTTTGAACTTGATCCAGCTGACCTTCATTTAGAAAGAGAGCCAATCGGAAAAGGACAATTTGGAGTAAGTTGTTTTGATTGCAACAGAATAGCATGAATTCGCTTTATTTTTTTTCGTTCTCGTCAGTTACTAACAACCAGTGATATTTAAAATCATTTGTGCAAAATGGCTTTAAATTACTTACATGAAAGAGTTAATTTGGAAGTTACTTTGAAGAAACATCAGTATAGTATAGCAACGGTGTGAATAAATTTAATAGACTGAATAAAATATTGTTAAAATATACCTTATGCAAAAGAATATTCTACAACATTGTTGTTACATCCTAATTCACCAAAATACCACTTTTTAAAATTATTGATTTGATATGTCAGAATTCTGATATCCTAGCTTTACCAGTCTTAGAATTCAAAAACTACTACTCATGTGCTCAAAAGACGTTCAATTGCAGTTCAATAACACCATATACAGTTAAATTGATGGTGTGACAAACGGAAGTCCATTGGGTCCAGTTAAGGCAGATATTTTTTATGGGGTATCTTGAAAACACAGTGCTTACTCAAGCGATTAGCGAAACGACGGAATACTCCGAATATGTTGATGAAACGTTTACTTTTTGCAACAGTAAATAGCATGCAAACCGCCTGTTAGAACTCTTCAGTAATGTTCATCCCAACATACAACTTACTATGGAACACGAAAAGAGTGACGTGTTCCACTTTCTTGATATTGTCGTATAACGTAGGGGACAATCCAACCTTCGGTTTATCAAAGAGTACTTGAAATGGTCTTTGCCTGAATTTCACTAATTTTTGTCCAATCATTTGCAAGAAAGCATTGATCAAATCACCATCTCATGGGGTAGAAAGGATATTAACCACTACAGACAATAAAAAACCAATATCTATAAATTTCAACTCCAAAGGTAATGACGCCCCAAGCACAATCAACAGGAGGCTTGACAATTCATTACCCGAAACTTACCCGGCACCTAAATTATAAATTTTGTGTGAAACAACATGTTCAATAATCCAATCAAAGGTTGGCTAACACCCCTCTCATGCCATTTCCAACTGTGTTTAGAAATTTACGCGTAACTGCCAAAGCAGCTACGTTGGCTTGACAGAAAGGAGGATATATTTTAGAATTTCTGAACATGTTCCAAAAAGCCTCAGAACAAGAGATAGAACAACCTTAGACTGTACAATTACCAATATCCTTGGAAACAGGAAATCAGGTCGATACCTCCCAATATTTCAAGGTGACTAATAAACAACCAAGCTCCACTCTTTCATATTTTGCTGAAGACGTTGCTATCGGGCCTCAGAAACGTGATTCGTGTGTGCAAATAGAGATGGTTATTAATCTTTCCTTGCCTTGGTAACAAATATTCCTTCGTTGCGTCTTATTTTTTCCAACTCTTTCCTTCAGCTGTCTACAGTATTACGTCATTTGTTTCGACTGTCTAATACATTAGTAATCTTATTTGAATTAACTGAGTGTTATTTATCTTATTCTTGCTTACTAGCGTTTACTTTTTACGTAGCCGTTTGTTTCTGGTCCTATGGACCTTTGTTGTAATCAATGTTGTAGAATATTCTTTTGCATAAGGTATATTTTAACAATATTTTATTCAGTCTATTAAATTTATTCACACCGTTGCTATACTATACTGATGTTTCTTCAAAGTAACTTCCAAATTAACTCTTTCATGTAAGTAATTTAAAGCCATTTTGCACAAATGATTTTAAATATCACTGGTTGTTAGTAACTGACGAGAACGAAAAAAAATAATATGAATTCATGTTATTCTGTTAGAATTTTTGTTCTTGCTCTCTTCAAGATGATAAAGCGAACTTTGTGTATGAAACATTAATTATCTCAATGATAAACGGGATATTACAATCCTTTACAAATGGTTTATTTGCATGTAATTTTTATATGCAGAATAAAAGTCTTCTTATTGATCTGTATTGAATATGTACCCACTCAGCTCCCACTCAGCTTCAGGTGATTAGTAAACAAGTGGGATTCCTGACTTATTTATCTTACAACAGTGCTGTTAATTTCTGTTGAAGTATGAAAAACGTTCTAATGTATTTTGCTAGATTTTTATGAAATTCTACATTTGTATGTCCACTAAGTAGTCAGCAAAACGTTGTTTTCTGTAGTTTTATATAAATTTATTTGCTACTATTTTATTTTTATCATTACAGCTGTACACATATTCTTTTTCTTGTGTTGTTTAGGTTGTGAAACGTGGCAAGTTCCGTAACATTCCGGTAGCTGTTAAACAAATGGTTGAAGGGGCTATGAATGAAGATGATTTTATTGAAGAGGCTAAAAATATGAGGTAGTTTGTCTTTGATCGGTTTCACTTCGCATCAAATTTTGGTAACAGACGACTGGTTTTTTAACATTATAGTTTTAAAGTAGAATTATGACAGTGATTTCTAGTCTTGTCTAAGATATTCCGTGTAAAGATCTTATAAAGTCAATCATCGTAGCTATGTTTGTTAATCAAATATTTTGAGTTAAACAATAATTATAATAAAATACACAAAACTATCATATCATTGCACGATCTTCTATAACAGGTAAATTATTAGAGATAATAGATGATTACATAACTTTACTCATCAAATAAAGCAAAATACACAAATATTTTATGATACTAGATTACTTACTACTTGATGTATGATTCTAATTTTATTTTAAGTTTATACATATAACTCTTAGTATCGGATCATTCGATCAACAATCAATTGGATTAAATTTTTTGTTAAATGAGACGAACATATTTCTTTATGTGTCAATATCACATCAATTAATTCAACAATTCAAGATAAATATAGGATCATTTACATTTACATGTATATTTTTTGTTTGAACACATAAACATTGGTACAAGGGAGAACCAAATATATATGCGTCACACAATAGCAATAAGGTCGGTAGCTGTTATTATTGATGTGTGAGGGCTGTGATACTACCCGAGTGCGCAAACCGAAGCAGGTGGTTTTATTAGGAGGCCACACCCTGAGCCTTTGATCTGAAGGTCTAATCCACACGGCAGTGGAGCGACGTCAGGAAATGCAGTCCCATGGTAGTCGGCGACCAATAGTTGGCTCATACGCCATTTGTTCCCTCAGGATCCTGGGACCATTGGTTTGGAATCAGGGTTTTCCAACTCCCGTAAGTGGATCCTCCATGTCCATCAACCCGGTTAAAGCGCCAGACACTCGTTTTCCGTCTTCTAACTCTCCCTGACGTCGACCGTACCAGGGCATTTAGGGGCATACTTAAGATAACTTTATTGGAGTTCGCAACTGAAATAATTTGTAATCAATAAAGATTGTTTAGTGCTGGAGATAAACAGATTGTTTTGTTTGCATTCGTAGTTTGGTTTACTGGCAAATGTCAAATTGGAAGTACTTTTAAATTTTCAATTTCGTTCACCATAGGATATCGTGGTGTTGGAATTGCTTAATCATAATATGTGATTTCTAAAAACAAAAACTGTTTTTTGACCACAATGACGTGTACATATCGGTTTAACCAAGTTATTTTCGATCTTATACAGTCCCAGTTCGTTTTACAGTTTGAAAATTTCCCGCACAATTTAAACAATAAAAAAAGTTCATTCGAGGTAAACCAATACCCAGGTAGATTATATTAAAGTCAATTGGAAATATAACATATTTTTCCTTCAAAAAGACATATTGATACTCTTTAGTGACTGCCTTTATATTTATGTCCCAGATGATCAGACAATAGCATCGTGTCATATTAAAAGCCTCTATAAACAGATGTTTTGTTGCTTAACTTGGTTTTCAATCATTAAGTTGCACTGTGAATCTTGCTCAACCACAATTCGTTTAAACTGGTGGTTATTATTACAAGCCTCTTACTCGTAGCGAAGCATGTGAATATGTATTTAGTTAAATGAATTTTAGCTCAAAACCTTAGATACACATAACCTTGTAGTCTGAATTTTATCCATCTTTAAAGGAATGAAATATTTGTAATAAGAACAGTCAAGACGTATTATGAGTTTTCATTAGACTGATATCATAGTCAGCTTTTATTCTTTTGACTGCTTTCTGAACCATAATAGAAGGGAAACTCAGTTATTAACGCATTCATCTTTCAACCTTGTGTATCAGGTTTGAATACCGTTTCATCTACTTTTGTTTTCGGTAGCCATGTATTACTATCTTGATGGAGTTGTTGAAACACGTATGGAGAAATTCGAACGCTTCACTTCTATCCGAAGTTTGTACTGACGATGTCGTTCAGAAGAACGATGATAGCTCCACGACCAAACCATCCAGCTCAGAAAGCAAAACTCCATCAAAATCATCCACCTGAGCTACAAATCTTCACCATGTATTACTATCCCTTACACTTATGATGTAGCTGAACACTGAATGCACAAATCTGTACTTGATAAAATAGTTACGTTTCCTGCATAAATATTACTGGATTTTATGTATGATGGATGATAGATTAGTACACTTTCATGTTATTGCTACACCATCAGTTGGGCTTAGGTGTATATACAAAATTGAGATAGTAATAAGCAAAAGTCTCTAATTTCAGTACATGTAGTAGGTCAATTCTCTTGGATTGTCGTTGATACTGTAACTCCATAGTAATACCCTTGACCTCATGTGTTAGTTGTAGATCACTAATTAATACACAAATGTTTACACATTTGTTGTGATGTGATAACTTGTTACGCTATATTTATCAAACTAACAAGTGAAAAACTGACTGCACATGTATGTTGAAAGTTCATGATTCGATTACTAGATTGAGACAGATTTTCAGGTACCTTTAGTTATTCTAAACAAACTTGAACGAATCTTGGTATTAATAAAGCTTGAGTAAATTTGTGTTTCTTTTATTCAAATAAACGAGAAAAAATTCTGGATAGTTTTAATGAAGTGAGTCAAAAACTAGATCGTATTGTTAATCTAAAAGTTACTGGTTCAATTTTTTGTTTATCCATGACTACTTTTTCATGTTTAGTCATGATTACCAGAGAGAGAGAGATTGTGACCGTTGGAATGTTTTGTTGCATTAATAAATGACATCCAGTATAAATGTTACTCTGTTATATGTGGTAATAACCATTTATTATATCATAAATACTGTCTGTTGTGCAAATCGTTTTTCAAAGTTTCACTTTATTTTGGGAATATAGAACCACATAAGTATGTGGCATATCGTACTGTTTTTCCTTTATTTTAGTTGAAGAGAAAGGTACATTTTCGTACATCATAATAAAGCATGATTTAACACGAAAATTGTACCCTGCAATATTCTATTCTCGCTTTTTTCTTACCAAATTCATGAAATTTTCTCTACTGTACACATCAAATTATTCCCCATCTTTCTCAACATTCATCCTACACTGATGCTTTTAGTGTTAATTGATCTCAGGGAAAAACTGACCAATATACTCGAGAATAATACACGTGAATGTCCTTGTGGTAGTGAATGTTATGAAACCAATTTTTCTCATGATTATTATTATTACTGTGCGTCGAAAATATGAACAATGTATGCAGATTCATACGTTGTTCATACATTTATATTATCCTCTGTTCCATTTCTAGATTTCTTAATCATCCAAATCTTGTACAGTTATTTGGTGTTGTATTGAAAAAGCGTCCAATTATGATAATCACTGAATATATGAAACATGGTAGGTGTCCTATTTAATATCCAGATATTCAATATCCATTTGATTTCCTTTGTTTGTTTTCTTTTTGTGAGACCTTTTCTTGATGAATATCACTAATTCATATGGATTAATAATAGGCCAACGTATATGAAGTGGCACTTCAACTATAATATCCAGAGTAAGAAGTAGCCAGTGTTCCAAGTTGAACCTGTAAAATTTGTATGTTTGTAGTGGGTTTAACATTCAATAGAAAGGGATTTATTTTAATTACTCTATATTGACGACTGAAAAAAATTCAGCCACACAAACATGGTACATCTGATCCTATAAGATATGAACTTGTTTATGATAAACTTGACAGTTGACCATGTCGAAAGTAATAAAACCTAGACTATATTTATCAAAGGCCAATGCAGATTATTCAATTTATTAGATGATCGTATGTACAGAGCAAGATTCCAGACATATTGTAAAGTATACTGTCGATCTTGTTCATCTTACAAATAATGTGTTTTATTTGATAGTCATGGTATCACTAGATGATATGCTTCTAAGATCTAGAAATCTTTTAGTTTTATAGAATTGAGTTCCTTGTTCATTTTAGTGTTTAAAGCTACTAACCTTTTCTGTGGTTCGAAGCGATTGGTTCCCATTATTTTTATTTATGGCATTCAAGGAATAAGGAAGTTTGCATGAAAATGCATTTTAAGCTATTTTCGATAGTCTGGCCTTCCGTCTCATTCTATTGGCCGTACAGAATACTGCATCTTAAGTTATTGCTACAAACAACTTTGGCTCAGTATGCACTTTCCTCTAGATTATTCAAAGTATTGTTATCATTATTAGCACCACTGGTTTTACATCATGCTCTAGAGATTTTTAATAGGATTTTCTTTTTAACCATTATTTGAAAAGGGATATTTCAATTTTCATGTATCTCATATTCTCACTGTAGAATATATAACGTAATTTTATTACTGCAAACTCCTTACTTCTGACTTATACCGACTACATTTTCGTATTGGTTAAGTTAATTTACAAGTTTATACATTGTTAAATCTTGCCAAGAGGTCTTTTGGCTCATCAAACATCTGATTTTAATTAACTGGGAAGTAAAAATAGCATTTATACCGTCTTTAGGGTGCTTAATTGACTTTAACTTTAATGTTAAAGTGTATACTAGTTCCGTAACAATATACTTTTCTTTGATTGCTACTGCGTCTCAATCTTTCCTTCTTGAAGCAGCTCTTGCTTAGGATTAATTTTCTATCTACACATGCGTCTACTACAATAACACCGTTGTGTTCTGTTTTATTTATTTCTTTATTTAAACATATAAACATTGGTACAAGGAGGCACCAAATATATATACGCCGCACTTCATCATTCAGTTTGTTCGAGGGCTAGAATGCTGCCCAGGCACCCATACCGAAACCGGTTGTTTTCTTTGAGGACCACTCCTCGTGCCTTTGACCTAGATGTATCATTCACAAGGCAGTGGAGTAGCGTTAAAAGATGCACTTCTATAGAGGTAGATGGAACTAAAGAAGCGATCAATATAACCTATAGTAATTAGTCTCGATATTTTAGAAAGCTATATTTAATTCCTAGAGTTAATCAAAAAATGAACTGGTTCGATATAATCCCGAATGTCGGAGTGATTCCCTACTATTCACTTGTTTCTCCTCAAAATGTCAAAGGTTACATTTTTTCTTTTTACACACATATTGACTGTTTTGTTGCTTTTATATAAACCGTTTTATTAATGTGATAGTATTTGTCGGTCTAGTTACGTTGTCAACTGTATGGTTGTTTAAGTGTCTACCCATGTACATTTTTAAAATGTTATCATCTCGACTAAGTGTTACCAAAAGTCGGGAAGATGAGTTAAGCCCTCAAAGACAAAGATAATTATAGGTAGCAAACGTTTTCGATTAAATAAATTATATATATATATAGGCTTGTTTTTGTTTAATATATAGTGGTGCAAATGTCGGAGCATATATTCTATATATGATTTCTAGCATCTAGTAAACGTATTGTACTGTATTTTACAAAGTCGTATCTGTGGCTGCGTTGCCCTCGTATTGATAAGAATGATGTATTGTACTCAGCATGTGCTTTATGTTGTTTGTTAGATAACTTGCATGAACCAGTAATAGTTAATTTTACGTTCATTTCAAAGGTCATTATTCCTCTCTTCCTATAAATGCCAATAAACATTGATTTCATTGAATCTTTTTTTTCATCAACACTATTAGGTCTATGTTCGATGCTAGTTTTAGGTATGCATCAAGAAGTGTTGACTGGATCTTCATGTCCTAAAATGCAGTCATCATTTAACTGACTTATAAACATAATTGGGTTATATCAGTTAGGCAATCTCATAGTAGCATCTGACTTTAAGAAAGTTCTATAAAAAAATATTCCAACTCACAGTCTTGGGTTGTCATTTAAAATGGTAATAGCATACGGTGTCCCCTCCCCAAAAAACCTACCGTCACTCCCATCCAATGTAGTCTTAAATACCAGTGATGGAGATTATTGTATTTCCTAACTTTTTCATATTGATTTCCTGCTAAGAGATTCTCTAATGGACATAAATCTTAAAGACGCTACAGTGACACTTGTTACTAATCCAAAAACTCACTGACTGTTGATATGAATTACAGTCTGTGGTAAGAACTTTCTAGGTGAGTTCCTTCAAATGGTAAGAGAATATCATGTAAGCCTTTAATGATAATGACTAAAAATTGGCCACTATGATACGAGTTCGTTCAAACACTGTCCTGTTCTAAACTATGAACACCCAATTATCTTACATTTCTATTATTATTATTATTATTATTATTATTATTATTATTATTATTATTATTATTCATTTTATTGTTTCCATTTCCGTTAATTTTCTCTTTTTGTGATGTGCTAAGTTGGAAAACTTAAATCTGTCCACTGTAGCGCTATATTCTACTTTGAAACATATGTTTAGTTTTAACAAGATATGTATAGGATCAAATACACTGACTAGTTGCAAAAACAAACATTAAATATTCTTTTTCACTTTATTGTTACACAGGATAAAAGTTTTTTCCAGTGTTACTACGTAAATTTCTGCTTAACTATCGATTGTAATAGACTGTTTTTACTCTACTGCATTACGATTGTTTATCCTCTTCGTAGTGCACACGTTACTCACAGTCCTATATTGTTAACCAGACTGTACTTACAGATTAAGAGTTCTCATTGGTTTCTAGTTTTCAATAATTGATTCCATCTGATGTCAGTTAATGATGAAAATAATGTTCATATTATATAAAATTCTACGCGAAAACTTCTTATTCCATAAATTACGTGAATAGTTTCAAAATTGATTTATTAAATATTCCACTCTGTACGGTTAATCTAGTTAAAATCAGGGCGGTTATTCATCTGATTAGTAATTTTGTTCACATTTAGCGATCTTAAGTACTGATTGTTGGTCAGTAACAAACTGGAACAAAACAGTTGTCCAATGATATCACCTCGTAGTGGCAAATACTTTCGAAATATTCGTTAATGAAATATCGTCTATTCCTTGGTCTAATCAAAGTTTAACTTATTCATGGATGTATGAGTATTCATTTGTCCTGTTATTTACAACTTAGTTTTTTTCTGTTGTCCAACCTTTATCCACTAATTCCTATGAAGATGTATCGAACACTACTTTATATTTTGTCAAGGTTAAAATTGTTTCTTCCACTTCATGATTCAATTTCTGATGATAACATTGCCATATCGATGATTTACATAGTTATTAACAAGACGTTTGTTTAGTGAATTGAAATTCTGAAGTTATTTTTCCTCAAAAAACATAATGAACAATTGTATTTCTGAAAATATCTTAAGAATTTTTCACTAGCATAATTGATAAAACAACAACCATTATTTTATTTGTTTATTTATTTGAACACAAATATTGGTACTAGGAGGCATCATATATCTATGCGCCACACAAAACAATGAGAATTCGAAGTGAAAAAGAATATAAGGTGCTTATAAGAAAAAAAAACAATAACGACCACAGATTAGTATATGGTAGTGTGATAATAATAATAATCGGGGAAATGAAAAGGTACAACCAGAAAGAATTGTTTCATTCAAAGGATTTACAACCACCTTTTATGAAGAAAGCAAAAGAAGGTTACAGCAGGATCGCCACTGACTTCTATTCTGAGTCATATCTGATAACGTCTCTAGCCACTGTGTTGCACCACCTCTCAGAACCCAGCCAGGGATTCGAGAAGCACCAACAGAAGCCAGTTGTGAACAGCTTTCTTGCATACCAAGACACCAACCCATACATTGACTACCTCTCCGTCTTTTCCAACCAGTCCCAGAGTCGGCAAATAATGCACGACGTGAAATTCTCTGGGACGACATTCGTAGAACATGTCCAAGTCACCAAAGTTGATGTTTCAAGATGGTGACACCCATTGGATTATCGTCACTGAGCCCGAACACATGATCCCGGACCTCTGCATTACTAACATGGTGTTGCCACTGGATATCAGTGATCCTTCAGAGACAGCGATGATCAAACACAGAGAGTCGTCTAACATCCTCGACTCGGAGAGACCAGGTTTTACAAGCATAGGGCAAAACTGCTTTCGCCGACGCGTTGTAGATACGAACTTTTACGGCCAGACTAACATCACGAAGGGGCTAGAGATGGCTCAGATTGGCATAAGCCACTCTGGCTTTCACTATACGTGAATTGATTTCGTTGCTCACGCCACCACCAGCACTTATGCAGCTACCGAATAATCAAAATATATAACATCCATTCGTTAACTCTATTTTTTGAAATAAATGAATATTTATCTGATATGAGTTCAATTATATGTTTCCCGACCGTTGTTGCTACCTTGACGTGGTGGTCGGGCTTGCCTATCGTGATGAAGCAACCGAGCTATACTGGCTGGAACAACCGTTCCTCAAGGTCCTACCATGTCAGATAGGTCGGTTGAAGAGCGGTAAGACTA